GCTCACACATTCGGTTGGATTCGTTACCAAACTGTCGTTCGCTGTTCACAATTCATGCTGGCAAGTCTCGTTCGAGCATGTTGAACGAATTCTTGAATATCGGACCTATCTGGTTCGAACACAATACTTGTCTCATTTGATATAACTGATGTATGACCCGAATCCCAACTTCGACCTCCATAACCTGGTGGAAATTTAAAACAATTCAGAAAAAGATCCTTGGATGAAATCGGTGGCATTGATAGATTTTGCGAACATGGATAACGATTTCTCGTTCCTGGCAAGCCTCCCTCGCTACTTGTTGTTGCATCATTTAATTTGTTAACTCCGTAGCGCAGCAAGAACAATATGATGATAATAATCAGTGGAAATAGAAGTTCGCATAGAATTGTTGGAAGACAATTACAACATCGCTGACGATATGAATATCGAACTGAGCGTTTCAGCAATAGATTGAGTTTCTTTGTCGAACTAATCGGTTCGTATTCGGTTTTGATTAACGGTTGCCGTAGAGTGTCACTTTGTGCCATTTGACAATCTGCGCTCGCTTGATGATTCAGTTTGGCAAATGAACTGTAATTTGTCTTAAAATTGTATCCTCTTTTATTTGTTGATTTCAACGACTATCAGTGAGTAATGTGTTCTTCTAAGTTGAAAAACAGAAAAGATTAGATAAAACGTGTAAAAGTATTGAATTTCTTGTATGATCTGTTTACCGACGCCCTCTTTACCTTTATTTTCATTTGATAATGTATTATTGTCATTAGTCATCAACCAAACAGTTGTTTTTCATATCTTGTCTTAAACACACAAACAGAGATAAAACCGTACGAATTCCATGTCACCAATTCCAAAGTCTTGGTACTGGAAGCAGCTAAAATTAACACTAATATGTTTCACATGCGCTTTATCAGCAGTCTTTTTCGTCTTATTTAACTTTTATCTTGCGACTGTATTTGCTCTTGTTTGGTCAACATTCGTCATAAAGAATACCTATTTTTGTCCAATTAATTTGAAGATACTCTACGCAAGGTAAGCAGCAAGTGTTTTTGTATGAATATTGGATTAAACCATATTTTGATCAGATTCTTCTTCGAATTTCTATTGGAAAAACCGGATCTTTTGTCTCAATTTCGGCCATTGTATGTAAATTGTTCGGACGATTTCGAGATTGATGTTTAACTTGGATTTACTTGTAGTGGTCTAGATTTATTCAATACTCAACTACATGATTATTCAATATCATACAAAGAATATGAGAAAAAGAAATTTCACACGCACATTCGTTATTTACAATCATTTCAAAATACTCCAATGTCTTCGATTGACAGACAATCCTATGATGTAATGGAGTATTTCATGAATTTACATATCAAACAGGAACACAGTGAGAGATTTAGTTATCACAGTTATTTAATCAATCAAATGATGGGCGCACAATCAGAAATTATCTCATTCATCACGAAATTTCATCGAATATTGAATGTTAATGACGCCGAAGCGTATCTCATTCGAGTAGATCCTCTTTCATGATAAATATGCTGTCCATTCATTTAGTTTTTTTTCTGCAGGTCCAACGAATATCGAAAGCATTTGACCAACTTATCGAGCAACAGATCGAACGACGTCATCGAAATGTTGAAACACCTCGATTTGTCCTTCAAAGAGTTATTACAGAACTCGAGACATTTCAACAGCAATTGAAAAACGAACCAAATCAAAGGTAGAAAAAAGAGCGTAGGCGTCGAATATTTTTTCTTTCTTTAGTCCATTGGTCACCGTTTTTATCGATAAACTCAATGACAAACTATGTTCGGTAAGACATTGAATGTTCGTGAATTCCTTTCAGGACAAAAATTCCCTTCTAGAAAGAGAAACAAACCGAATTGCTCAATCGTTTACTGAATATTCTGAAAAGCTATGTCATTCCCGCTTATGATCGTTTGCTAAACGTTCTTCACGAAGATCTCTCCAATGCGAAAACTGATCATGGCGTTTGGAAATTACCCGATGGTGATGAATATTATAAGTTATGTTTACAATATCACACAACAACGAACATGACGGCCGAGGAAATTCATGAACTCGGAAAGGAACATGTGAAGAATACTCAGAACGAGATGCAAAAGTAAGAAAGGTCGAATTTGTTTGCGAAGATCACGCGTTTTTGGATAGAATTTTGAAAGAAAAACAAATTCCAACTTGGCAAGATTTTCGAACAAGTATCAAACAACTGGAAGAAAATGTCGATCAGAAATATGAAAATATTGACGAAAGTCGAACGAAGATACTCGAAGATTACGGTCGACTTATTGAGGATATTGACAATGAAATGCATAAATATTTCTCATCTGCATGTCGACCTACGACAAAGTGTGTTATTGAACGTGTGCCACAATTCAAAGAAGCAACTTCACCATTAGCTTATTATTTCCCAGCTGCACTTGACGGAAAAACTCCCGGAACATTCTTTGCCAATCTTCGTAATATCGATGAAGTTGTCAAGTTTAAAATGGGTACATTAGCTTATCATGAAGCTGTGCCAGGTCATCATTTTCAAGTAGGATTAACGATGAGATTATCATTTCGTTGAAAGTTTTTCGTTTTAGTTAAGTATAGCACAGTCGCTAAAACATTTACCATTCTTTCGTCGGCTGATTCCGTTTACTGCGTATATTGAAGGATGGGCTTTGTATACTGAACAATTGGCAGCTGAACAAGGTTTTCATAGATCATGGCACAGTTATCTTGGATATCTTGATCATAAACTCCTACGATCGTGCCGGTATGATTCCTAAACAGAACATTTTCTATGAACATCTCGATTTTTCTCTAAGTTTGGTCGTGGATACTGGTATTCATACGAAACGATGGTCTCGAGAGGAAGCGATTGAATATATGGTAATTAGATTGATTTCAAATAGACACGATTTCTATACTATGAAGTTGACATCTAGGTTAAAAACACATGTTTGAATCGAGAAGAAGTAGTTACTGAAATCGAACGATATTTCGTCATGCCTGGTCAAGCTTGTGCATATATGATTGGTTGTCAAACAATTCTCTCATTACGTGATAAAGCGAGATCAGTGTTGGGTGATAAATTTGATTTAAAAGATTTTCACGATGGTAAGAAGCACTTTATCGGAGGATCTTATTGTTGTCTCTTTGGATTTCTAGCGGTGTTATTAAGTGGTTCATTGCCATTGAACATATTAGAAACAATCGTCGATGATTATATTACAAAAAAGAAATCAAATCTGTGATAGACATTAGCTTAGCTCTTTCATAACAATTTTTAATAAAGATTTTATCTCAAACTTTTCACTGAAATAGCCCAATCTTGATCGTGCATGTCTGTGTTCAAAAGCAGAATGTAGTCTACTTAATTCTCTCAAAACTACTTGTTCGCTTTCGATTTGCTTTTAGAAATATTTTCAAGTGAAACTTCTTTTCTTCTTTATCCTCTTATGCTTTACATTCTTCTTCGTTCTTTTTCTCTCTCTCTTAAAAAGCAAAGCAAACAATCAGCACCCAAGGAGAGATTGTTCTCTTCCATTTTATTTCGCCTGCATATCTCGTGAAAAGTAACAGACATAATCATGGTTTCGGAAGGCAAGGAACACGCTGTTCAACATTTATCGAAAGCAGAATTAGCATTCATTGCTGTTCTCTTCGATGTGCAAGCAAGTCCAGCTGATGGTCACGAGAAAAAACAAAATGTTTATGAATTGACATTTGAAAATATCAAAGCCGTCCGTGGACATTTGGATCGTACAGCGGATGGGACCGTGTTTCATTATCGACAAGCTCCAAAGGGTTTGAAATTCAAGATTGAAGACGAAACCGAAGAACAAATTCAACAAGCTGCTGAAGATGATGAAGTCAAGGAGCCTAAAGAAGGAAAAACCTATGTAGCTATTCTCACAGATGCCGAACATATTGAAGTCTTGGTTGAAATCAATCCGCATGACATTTCTGAAATCGTTCAAAGTGCACGGGATAAGGAATCAGCAACTATATAAATCGGTTTCTTTTGCACATAAATGACTACTTTCGCATGTGTGTCTAAGCACTGTGCTAATCGATTTTCTTTTTGTTGTAGCGATTAATCTTTATTTTATTCTTGCACTTCGTTGTGGCATTCGTGTAAATATATTAGAGAATGAAAATCAAATGGGTAAATGTTTATCATAATACGATTGATAAATATTGATTAGATTTCTAATGACATGTGAGATTATCTAGACTACACGCGTTTCACTACATCCCGAACTTTTTTCAGAGTTTTCAACAACTATTTGTTATCAGTTGTGTCATCAAGGTTACCGAGTACTGCCATGGTTGAAAATGATATAATATAGTTACTATTAACAATGTGTAAGGTGAAAAGAGAGGACGCCACATACAAATAAGACTCATACAGTTAAGGAGGTTATTGTCAACGTCATCTTCTCTTACAATGCTAATAGTTCGATTCTTGATCTGTATTTTTCATCAATCGAGAATAACTAACGAACAAGTTGTGCAATTATGAACTAAAACAAATACAGTTGATTTCAGAGCGAAAATGTTAATTTAATATTCTGTAGTTGAGATTATAATGGAAATATGTTGCATTCTTGTTTAATAATTTAAAAACTGTTTGAAATACAAAATGGAATTCATAGTGATTCATAGATTAAAAGTTTGAATTGTGTTGAAACTATGTTCTCTAAATAGGTGAACAAAGCGAATAAGTAAATATCTGCTTAATTATTAATAAGTATTCAAATGAACCCATCTTTCATGTGTATTGATGGTTTCATCGGTCATCGTTTGTTTTGAAAATTCTTTGTAGAACTTCTCTCGAAATAGCCATCTTGTCAGATGTCGCTTTTGTTGATTAAACTTGAATTTGAGGGTGATACTATGACAACAAATGTTCCAAATGCCAGAATGATTTCGTGTATACTTGAATATTCTTTATTCTTTTACACTTACACATAATAAAGTAAGCAATGGCTGATGGTGGAATGTTACCGTCATCAACTCGACCAGCAAACTTTCGTTATGGAAATACTGATCAAAATCGTCTTCTAAATCGTCTAGTTTCCCATCCGTTAAAGTCGATTCAAGATGAAAAAAGTAGTTCCCCGCAACCACCCGGTGGTGATCATTATCGAGCCTTTTCAAATAAACAGATACCTGCCGAACATAAATTTGAACCTTTGCCAGTACTAAAACGTTATCAAAAATACAATGATCCGAAAGAAATTCAAGCACGTAATCGACAGGAACTAATTGAAGCAAACAAACTACGGGTCTCATCACCTGATTCACCAGCTGAGAAACGTGCGAAACTCTCATTACCACCGGTTTGTTAATTCTATTGAATTTTTCGCAATTCCAAGGGGGAATTTTTAGATTAATGGCCGAACTTCAGAAATGAGCAAAGCCAGCGATGCGGCTTCTGACTGGGGATCAACTGCATCTGCTAAGCGTAAACAACTCGATGCGCGAGGTATTTCATCGACATAGCTTACTGTTTTCACTTCGTTGTGTTCATTATTTTCAGAGAAAATGCAAGGAGAGTCAAATATGGGTAAAGTAATCGATTACATAAGACAAGCACCTGATGGTTTCTTCCTGTATCTGTCGCATTCATACTCGCGAAACGATACGCGGCATAGTTACTATAACTTGAAGTTCGTTGATTTTCGTTGCGCACTGCGGAAAGAATGAAAACCTTTGTACTTGTTTAGAGTTGTTAATTATGAACAATGCGGACGAGAATATTTCACAATCTCGAATGCCGGTGTTAGTTATTATCGTCCAGGAGAAGAAGTAGAGTTCACTCCATTGGAAAATTTTGCCAAAGAATATTATCGATACGTTCGATTAATCAAAGTAGATAATTGAACTCATAAGTTTAATCAATGTTGTAATGCATTTCTCTATTTAGATCAAAACGTTTTCAACTTTCAGGTATGTTGACATGACTTGACGATGTTCAGGAGTGATGGTAATTGTATTTGTGTTTTGAAGAATGTGGAAAGCGTTTATGGTATGGTATAAAAACATTCGTATCAAACAAGTCACTGGTTCATCGAAAGCTTTGAAAGAAAATCTATTCTTCTTACAAGATGTAATCATAGAATTTCATCTGAAAGAGATTCGTAGTGTTGGTTCATATTTCTCATTTAGGCATTACGACCTGCGTTATTGAACATTCGTGAAATGTGCTTTCGTATTAGTGATATGAGTCTTTGTAAAATCGAAAAGAAACATACGTATACATTGCATGAAGTTCGTACAAATGAGCTTATTTATTCGAAATAACGTTTTCCTTTCATAATTAATAGTTTATTAATAGTCAAACGGAAACATTGAATCAAGTTGCTGAACGTTTACAAGAATTTCGCGATCTCGTCAAAGATGTTGTCGCTAGTGCTTGTCGAACACGTCTATTCGAAGCGGGATTTGTGCCAGACGATTTCCTTCATCCAACTGATATGACCAATGGTATTAATTTCTCATTTACTTTCTCATTAGCAAGTCATTTGTTTTACCTTTTCTTCCTAGATGGTCTTAATGGTGCTGCTTTTACAATGCCCGATAGCATGGATATTGATACATTGGCACAGCCACCTGATAAGGCAACGTATGCAGAACAAGCAAATAAACGAGCACAATGTCGACGATTAACAAAGTAAGCGGAAGAGTTCCGAAATTGATCAAATCAATGAATATTCGTTTAGTTTCATTCGTTTATGTGATTATCTAATTGTCAATACATTCCACGTGCTTGCCAAGAATTCCGTACATTCATTGAAAAATCATTTTCTCGAACAGATTGAAGCGACGCCGAAGAAAGATGAAATTGTCGGCTATGTTGAAGAAATCAAACAAAAGGTTGATAAACAAATAGCAGTAGCAACTGAAGGTGAAGAAGATCCAAACGCTGAACATCAAGCACCTCCTCCGCCTCCTCAAGCGCCACCACCACAACCCGGCCCACCTGTACCTGGTGTTCGACAAGCCGGAGAAGTAAAACTTGACTCTTGTTTTATAGAAAGGTAAACTATTGACTGTACTCGTCCATCATAGGAGGATGCCGTTGCTAAACGCCACATTCCATTATTTGTTACTGAAATGAAATTATTTATGGAAGCTATTCAATATGATCCAGATGGGATTGCTTTCCAGAATGGTCTGTTCTATTCTTTAGTCAGTTTTTTTTTTTAAATTGAATTACTTCCTTTGCTTCCAGGTATTAATAACGTCATTTCCAGTTTTCAAGAAACGCTTCTTTCCATCAGAAATCTTTTACCTGACGCAACATTCGATAATTTTACTCGACCTTACATCAATGAGAAGTACGAAGAGAAGATATGTGGTACGAAATCTATCTCCTCGAATTCATTGATTCGATTTCTAATCAAATATTTTTATTTAAAAATAACTTAGGTGACGGACCAGACCTTCGCAGCATGTTCTTGGCCGATTTCCACTTTAAAGACTTGATTAAAGATTGCAACAGTTCATTAGAAGCTGGTTTCAATGCCGCAAAGATTTATTCAGACACATTCGCAGATTTCCATCAGTTCTACGTCGAAAACGAAAACACAAACATCGACGCATTGAAAACTGAACCTCACGGTACGACTTCAGTATTTTTTTATATGAAAACTATTCAATGGTTCGTTTTGACTTGTTAATAGATGTGGAATTCTTCGCTGAATCTTTGGCTAAATACACGCGTCAAGAAAAGATCGCTCAAGCAATCGATGCTAAAAAACCGTTAGGTCTTCTCATGATTGACGCAACGGATACCAAGACGAAATTAGAACCGTCACCACGAAGGTAAATCAATTCAATTGTTACATTTCGTGTAACTGTTGATGTTTCATTTCATAGAATATTGGATATCATCAATGAAATCTTACCAAAAATTGCTAAGGCTAAAACCGATGCAGTCAAATCCGAAGCTCAAGATGCTACAGTTAAATTGGAAACGAAACCTGAGACTACACTTGATTTTGTTGATGCTCTAACATTTCTTGATGAAATTCAAGAACGTATTGAGCCACTCGAACAAGAAGCAGAAGTTGTTCGTCAAATGTACGAACTCATCGATCAATACACAGTTCCGTGTCCACCCGAAGATATCGTCTCATACAGTTCATTAGCCACAACACTAAACAGCTGTCGTAATGCGATTGATAAAGCATTGACAGAACGTGATGCTAATGTTGTCAAGTTCGTTGGTTTATTGGATAAAGATATTGAAATTCTAACGCAAGAAGTTCGACAGATCAAACAAGATTCTCAAAATCCGATGATACTCGATCCAACAGCTGATAAAGACAAAGTGAAATTAATCTTAGATGATTATTTGAAAAAGATGGATCATCAACAAAAAACATCGACAAAATATCGTTTATATCAAAAGAATTTCAAGGTCGAAGTGACGAAATTCGATGAACTAGAAGAAGTCTACGGTGAATTAAAACTCAAAGAATTGCTTTGGAATTCATTGAATGAATGGGATGCTATGCTAGATGAGTACAAAGTTGGTGATTTTAATAAATTGGATCATGAACAATTAACAGGAACCGTTAACAAATATGGCAAATATGTTTATCAATTAGAACGTGGTTTACCGCCCAATCAACTAGTGCCAATCTTGAAAGATAAAGTCGAATCACTTCGAGCGAAAGTAAATACGAAAATTTTTCAAAAACAACAGATTCAAGTTGAATTCGATTTAGTTGCCAACGGTGACAAATCTTCGTAATCCGAATTTACGTCGCCGTCATTGGGATGTAATCGAAGATCTGATCAAATTCCGTAAGTTTAACAAACGGAACTCCTGCAGATTAAAGTCGTGTTTTCCTTTGTAGACCCGACAGTAGAAGAACCATTGACATTGGGCAAACTCATCGACATTGATGCTTTTCAACACGAAGAAAGACTTCAAGAAATCTCTGGTCAAGCTAGTTCCGAAGCTAGTCTTGAGGGCATTCTTAAACGAGTAATTTCCTTCCTTTCAATATGACTTCTATCGAATACAAATCTTCCTGTTTAGGTCGAAGATTCTTGGAAGGCAGTGGAATTTCCTGTCATTCCATACAAAGATTACAAAGATGTTTACATTCTTGGTGGTACTGACGACATCATTCAATTATTAGACGATGCTGTTATTAACATTTCAACTATTGCCAGTTCACGTCATGTTGGTCCAATCAAACCACGTGTGGAAGAATGGCAAGCCAATTTAGATTTGTTCACAAAAACACTTGACGCGTGGTCGAAATGTCAGAAAACTTGGCAATATTTAGAATCAATTTTCGGTGCGCCTGATATTCAACGACAATTGCCAGCGGAAGCCAAAATGTTCAATCAAGTAGATAAAACATTCAAAGATGTGATGAGAAAAACAAATAAAATTCCATTGGCTATCAAAGCCGGAACGCAACCTGGTAAGTGTGATTTGGTAGAATGAAATGTTATGATTAGGGAGATATGTTTAGGTTACTTGGAATTATTTCAAACCAATAACGCTTTGCTCGATCAAATTCAACACGCTTTAGCTTCATACTTGGAAACAAAGCGTTCAAACTTTCCACGGTAGGCTATTGAACGATTGAAATTTTCAGAGAAAAACTACTTTTGCTTTCTGTCTGCAGATTTTACTTTCTGTCGGATGAAGAATTACTTGAAATTCTTTCTCAAACACGAAATCCATTGGCTGTTCAACCACATTTACGAAAATGTTTCGAAGGTATCAATCGTTTGGAATTCATCAGCAAGGGTGGTGACGATATGGAAATGACTGTGACGCTGGCGCCAGAAATTCGTGCAATGCTTTCGCCAGAAGGTGAACGCGTCGAAGTCTTGAAAGTCAAAGCAACTGGAAATGTCGAAGATTGGCTGAAACAAGTCGAGAAGAACATGATCACAGCTGTTCGTGCGTGTATCAAAAAAGCCAAAGATGATTTCGAGAAGAGTATTCGTGAAGAATGGCTAGTCCGACATCCTCATCAAGTAAACAATGAATTTCGTACTCTCTTTTTGTTAATATAGATGATTTTGATGTGTAGAGCGTATTGACTGTCTCGCAAACATATTGGTGTTTGGCTTTAACACGCATTTTGATGGATGATGATTCAGTTCGACAAGAAAGCCTCGAAGCGTTCGAACAAAAAAGTTACAAAGACTTGAATAAGCTAGCCGCACTCGTTCGTCAAGAATTACCACAAGTAAATCTCTTTCGATTCATTTCATTCTTATCTATTTTTCAATGATTATAGCTTGTTCGAGATGTCTGTCGAGCATTGATTACTATCGATGTACATGCTCGTGATATCGTCTCAGAAATGGTTTCAATTAAGAATGCTGCTATTACAAGTTTCGAATGGCTAAAACAATTACGATACTACTTTGAACAAGATATGACTATAATTCGTATGGCCAATGCACAATATATCTATGGTTATGAATATCTCGGAGCATCAGATCGACTGGTTATCACACCTCTTACCGTTCGTTGATATTCAGCTGTTATGCTAAATTGATAATAATTATTTTACTTTTCATTAGGATCGATGTTATTTATGTTTAATGGGTGCATTACAGTTAGATTTAGGTGGTGCACCAGCAGGCCCAGCTGGTACAGGAAAAACGGAAACAACTAAAGTAAATAGAAACTAGCTGCTAAGAGTGTTCAGCAATTATGGATCATTTGTATTAGGATTTGGCGAAAGCTCTAGCTAAACAATGTGTCGTTTTCAACTGTAGTGATCAAGTTGACTACAAGGTTTGTTTGATTTCGGCATAGTACGAAAGATTCCATGTGTTCTGTTGTTTTATATAGATGATGGGCCGATTTTTCAGTGGTTTAGCACAATCAGGTGCATGGGCTTGTTTTGACGAATTCAATCGAATCAACATTGAAGTGCTTAGTGTCATCGCACAACAATTAATTACTATTCGCGATGCGAAAGCAGCAAAAGTGAGATCGATGACTGAACTGTGTCGAATATTCATTTGATTTGCTTTCAGTTATCTACATTTATGTTCGAAGGTCGTGAAATTCGACTTGTACCCACATGCGCTGTCTTCGTAAGTTTCTTTGTCTTCGTGAAAGAAGAAGTTGTGCTAATAAATCGTTTGTTATCAGATTACAATGAATCCTGGCTATGCTGGTCGTACTGAATTGCCCGATAATTTGAAAGCTCTATTTCGTCCACAATCTATGATGGTTCCAGATTATCGTCTTATCGCCGAAGTTATTCTCTATTCAGAAGGTTTTGAAAATTCCAAAGTTTTAGCACGTAAAATGGTTCAAATGTACAAACTATGCTCTGAACAGCTATCACAACAAGATCACTATGATTTCGGTATGCGTGCAGTCAAGTCTGTGTTAGTCATGGCCGGTGTATTAAAACGTGAAAGTCCAAATATTGATGAAGATCTTGTTTTAATTCGTGCTCTACGTGATTCAAATCTACCGAAATTCTTAACTGATGATGCTATCCTCTTCAAAGCTATCATCCAAGATTTGTTTCCAAATGTTCTCCTTCCCGAACACGATTAGTAAGTAAACGATCTCATTTCGAATAAAAAAACGAGACAATTAACTTGTTTGTAGTGGTGAATTACGTCGTACAATTATTGATATTCAAACACGTCGAGGTTTACAAAACGATGAATCGCAAATACGAAAAGTTATTCAATTCTACGAAACAATGCTTATTCGACATGGTGTCATGTTAGTTGGACCGACACTCGGTGGAAAAACGACTGTATATCGCATATTAGCAGATTCACTAACAGATCTACATGCACACGGTGCTGCGTATCATTTCTATCAACCAGTACATACTTATGTACTCAATCCGAAATCGATTACTGCTGGAGAATTATACGGTGAATTCAATAAAACAACTATGGAATGGAGAGATGGTCTTATGGGAAGCAGTGTTCGGCAATGTGTAACGGATCAAACAAAAGACCATCATTGGATTATCTGTGATGGTAAGGTTTTTGTCTAATTATCATCAATAGTTGTTTTATCTATATTATACAATATTTTTAGGGCCTGTTGATGCAGTTTGGATTGAAAATTTAAATACAGTGTTAGATGACAATAAAATGTAGGTTCAATATCTTCTGTATTCCTGTTTATATCCCTTTCTTGTAGGTTATGTTTAGCCAACAGTGAACGTATTAAATATACACCCTATATACATATGGTCTTTGAAGTACAAGATTTAGCCTGTGCTTCACCTGCTACAGTCAGTCGGTAAGTACTGAGTTCGATTACCGTATGAATCGATTCATTGCATCGGTTGTCTGATAGTTGTGGCATGGTCTACATTGATTCAAATGATATTCGATGGTATCCATATGTGAAAACATGGAGTCGAAAGTTTGAAGAGAAATTTGGCGAATTTTATACTGAATATCTTCTGAACTTATATCATACACATATCGACAAAGGTCTTCTTTTTATACGAAAAAACTGTAAAGAAGTTGTCAAACAGGTAGGATGAGAATGCTGTGTAGGTAGCTAAGAATTCAGCTTCCTGTTTAGGTCGATATCGCGAAAGTAATCACATTATGTTGTTTGATTGATTCGTTATTGACAACTGATGAAAAAATTGATACGAAATTAGAAGAATCAAAGATAAAGATCATGATTGCGACAACATTCGTGTTTTGTTATGTTTGGAGTGTTGGCGGTAATATCGTTGCTAAAGATTGGGATCAATTCGATACATTTGTTCGTCAACAATTCGAAGAAGATGCCGATGCGAAACTCGGCCAAGGTGGAGATCTATTCTCGTATGAAATTGATGTTCATCATCGTCGTATGGAAACTTGGGAGAAAAGTGTACCTGGATTCAAATACGACAAAACCAAACCATTCTTTGATCTACTCGTCCCAAATATAGACTCATGTCGATTTGGTTATCTACTCGAAAAACTTGTCTCAGTCAACAAATCTGTTTTGTTCACTGGAGAAACAGGTGTTGGAAAAACTGTCATTGCACGCGCACAATTATTGAAATTAGCTGACGAACAGAATATTCTACCATTGTTTCTCAACTTTTCGGCACAAACAAGCAGTAAACGAACACAGGAGATGATCGTACCAAAATTAGAAAAACGTAAGAAGAATGCACTTGGCCCACCAAGAGGTAAACGTATGGTTATTCTAATCGATGATTTAAATATGCCGAAACTTGAAACGTATGGTGCCCAGCCACCGATGTAAGTTTTTTCTATATGTTTAAGACAGAAATTCTCTTATTTCGTTCTTTTCAGTGAACTTTTGCGACAATATCAAGATTTTCACGGCCTTTACGATCGTGAAACATTAAAATGGGTCGAGATTCAGGATGTCATTCTTTGTGCTGCTTGTGGTCCGCCAGGTGGTGGTCGTAATCCAACGACTGCTCGTCTTCTTCGTCACTTTGCTATATTCGCTATTCCAGCGCCATCGGAATACAGTCTTAAACATATTTTCAAATCGATTCTCAATGGCTATTTAGCAGATTTTAATCAAAATGTCAAACAAGTTGGTGATGGTATTGTTGATGCTGCTGTGGAAATTTACTCACGTATGAGCGCAGAATTGTTGCCTACACCAACAAAATCTCATTATGTTTTCAATCTACGAGATTTATCGAAATGTATCCAAGGAATTCTACAAGTAAGTCAACACTTTTCCAATTTTCGCACCACTTTATTCTACTATCGTTCATCTTAGGTTAAACCGGAAAGTGTATCTGATCAAGGAAGTTTAGTGCGTGTATTTTTCCATGAAGCAATGCGTGTCTTTCACGATCGATTGATTAATGACGACGACAAACAATATTTTCACAATATGCTTGCCGAATTAGCTTCCCGATTATTTGCCATTCAAATTGAAGCCACAACATTTGTGAAGAAACCAATCGTATTCGGCGATTTCATGAAGGTGGGCGCACCGAAAAATGAACGTCTCTACGAAGAAATCACCGATATGAATAAAATTCGTAACGTTCTACAAGATTATCAAGAAGACTACAATTTAACCAATAATAAAAACACTCGCTTAGTCTTCTTCATGGATGCTATTGAACACATCGCTCGTATTGCTCGTATCATTCGACAAGATCGTGGTAATGCTCTGTTAGTCGGTGTTGGCGGTACAGGTAAACAATCTTTAACTCGTCTTGCCAGTCATATTTGTGGTTATAAATGTTTTCAAATTGAATTATCGCGTGGTTACAACTATGATAGTTTTCATGAAGATTTGAAGAAACTATACGAACAAGCTGGACCGAATAACCAAAATACTGTTTTTCTCTTTACGGATAATCAGATTGTTGTGGAAGAATTTCTTGAAGACATTAATAATATTCTCAACTCTGGTGAAGTACCGAATCTGTTCGATAAACAAGATGAATATGAAAAGATGATCATCGGATGTCGAGTAAGTGAGCAAAACATATTGCACGACTTCTCATTCTTGTCTTTTAGCCTGGTGCGAAGGATGCTGGTATACCAGAAAATGATCGTGATGCTATCTATACGTTCTTTATCAATCGCGTTCGAAATAATCTTCATTTGGTCTTGTGCATGTCACCGGTCGGTTCATCATTTCGTACTCGTTGTCGTATGTTTCCATCACTTGTGAATTGCTGTACATTGGATTGGTTTTCTGAATGGCCACGCGAAGCTTTACTCTCTGTTGCACATACATCATTCGAAAAATATCCTTGGTCAAAAGGTGAAGAATACATGGTGGACGCATTAGCACAAATGAGTGTGGAAATCCATATGAGTGTATCCGCCAAAGCAAAACAATTGCTATCGGAATTGAGAAGATACTACTATACAACACCGACATCGTATTTGGAATTGATCAACTTGTATTTAATGATGTTAAATGATAAGAAAAAGTAAAGAGATGACTTTCCATTGTTGAATTAAGAACGTCTAAGGTGCAATTTATGATTTTTCTAGAGAAATCGATACAGCACGAGCGCGTGTAGAACGTGGTTTGAAAAAATTGGAAGAAACTAACGTGTTAGTTGAACAAATGCAATTAGAATTAGTGGCATTAGAACCACAATTGAACAAAAAGTCGGAAGAAACAGCAAAACTGATGGAAACCTTAGCTATCGATCAAGAAAAAGCTGATGAAGTAAGACGAACTTGAATAAAAGTATCTTTGATCGATGCTCATCACTTATTTAGGTACGACGCGTTGTCATGGAGGACGAGGCAGTCGCCCGTGTCAAAGCTGAAGAAACGCAAGCAATGAAAGATGATGCCCAACGTGATCTTAATCAAGCCTTACCGGCTGTTGAAAAAGCTAATGAAGCTATCGGACGTTTGAAGAAAGAATCTATCGGTGAAGTGCGAACATTTACAAAACCGCCTCATATGGTTGAAGTCGTTATGCAAGCTGTTTGCATTCTATTCGACAAGAAGAAAGTACGCCTTCTTTGTTTGTACATACATATGTTGCATTTGCTTTGTACATCAGGATTGGCCATCAGCGAAACTCCTGCTCGGTGATTCCGATTTCATCAATCAAGTTCGTAACTATCCTAAAGATAATATACCCGAGTCGGTTCTACGCGATCTGAAACCGTATCTCCAATTGCCAAATTTCAATTATAAAGACATTCTTCAAGTATCCGTTGCATGCGCAAGTCTTGCTGAATGGGTAATCGCTATGGATACATACGCTAAAATAGCGAAAGAAGTGGCACCGAAACGTAAACGTGTTGCAGCAGCTGAAGCTGATCTACGTGCTGTTAATGAACAATTGAAAAAGAAACAAAGTCAATTGCAAGAAGTTGAAGTTAAGATCAAAGAACTTCAAGATTCATATGACCATCAAGTAGCGGAAAAGAAAAAACTGGAAATCTCGATTATGCAAACGCAATCGCGATTAAAACGTGCTTCGAAATTGACAACAGCTTTAGCAGACGAACAAATTCGTTGGAAAGAAAACATCAACGAATTTATTGAACAAATGAAAACTGTCACTGGTAATGTTTTTGTTTCATCGGCATGTGTCGCCTACTATGGTGCTTTTCCCTCATCATATCGAACTGAAGTATGTCTTGCGTTGACTTTCGCTACGAAAAACATGTTTTTTTAAATATATTTAGCTTGTTGACCATTGGGTTGTCGGATGTAAAGAACACAAAATACCAATTCTAGACAATCCGTCAATAATTAGCGTACTTGCCGATGCTTTTTCAATTCGACAATGGGTTACACAAGGTTTACCACGGGATGACTTCAGTACCGAAAATGCTATTCTAGTGACTAAAGGTCGTCGTTGGCCTTTGTAAGCGAGAGAGAGTTCATCAGTCTAAGTAAACATCGTTCAATTTCTGTATTTTCTCTCTAGAATTATCGATCCACAAGAACAAGCAAATCGCTGGATTAAAAATAAAGAAAAAGATAATCAATTAAAAGTAATCAAGATGACGGATGGTCATTTCTTACGTATATTAGAAAACTGTGTACGTATTGGTATGCCTCTATTGCTCGAAGATGTTGGTGAAACATTAGATCCTGCTTTGGAACCGATTTTACTGAAGCAAACATTCATGTCGGTACGTATTCATTATACTCTTTGTCTTTTCCACAGTTTGACCAAGGTATCTTCTAGGGCGGTCGATTGTTGATTCGTTTGGGTGATTCAGATATTGAATATGATACCAATTTTAAATTCTATATGACCACGAAATTAAGCAATCCACATTACTTGCCCGAAATTTGTATCAAGGTGACAATTATCAATTTTAGCGTTACAAAGCAAGGTTTAGAAGATCAAATTCTAAGGTATGATGAGTTTGAGAAAGAAAATTTGAATCTAAATCAATTCATCGTTGATTACTTTAGTGACGTTGTGCGTCTTGAACGACCTGATCTTGATGAAGAAATGAATCGTCTTATTATTACTATGAACAATGATCGAAATCAATTGAAAGCTATCGAAGACAAGATTTTGAAGATGTTATTCGAGAGTGAAGGCAATATTCTAGATAACGAAGAATTAGTTAACTCGCTCAACGATTCGAAGGTAACGTCGACCGCAATTAAGCGTCGTCTTGAAGAAACATTGAAAACGGAAGCAAATATATCTGCTGCTCGAGAGAAATATCGTCGTGCAGCAACACGTGGTTCTCTTTTGTATTTCGTTGTTGCTGATCTAAGTTTAATCGATCCGATGTATCAATTTTCTCTTCGTTACTTCACTCAATTATTTAATACAACGATTGAAAACAGTACGAAAAGCGAAGATCTCACTCAACGATTACAAACAATTCTCGACAGTACAACCGAAAATATCTACACAAATGTTTCTCGGTATGTATAACTCTAATTCTCTTGGATACATTTGAATCGCTTCTTATTTCTAGTGGTCTCTTTGAAAAAGACAAACTGGTGTTCAGTTTTCTTCTCTGCGCTGAAATATTGAAATTAGAAGGTGTTATCAACGAAGTCGAATGGAACTTTTTACTTCGTGGAGGTCTGGTAACTGAACAAGTAAGTATCAAATATTTTCTCTCTAAAACATCTCTCTCGTTTTTTTCCTGTAAAGAAACGACCACCGAAACCAGCACACGATTGGCTCATTGCCGAACACTGGAATCAAGCATTAGCCTTAGCTGATGTATCTGAACTATACAAGAATTTACCACGCGATATCGAAAATTATCAACAACCAATCTATGTTGATATCAACTCAGAACTGCGTATTGTCATTAATAGCAACGATATAACCACGAAAGTTCCTAGTGAATACAATACAAAAGCAACGGACTTTCAAAAATTGTTATTTGTGAAAGCCTTTGCGCCTTATTCACTTGTACAATCAATCACGTATTTCGTTGCGGAACAATTGGGCAAAAAATTTGTTGAGAGTCCTTCGGTGGAATTGCCTATACTCTATCAAGATATATCGAATCGTACACCACTGGTATTTATTTTGAGTACAGGTTCAGATCCTATGTCAAGTTTTACCAGATTTGCTGCTGAAATGAACATGACTAATAGGTATGTTTTCGATTGATTAGTTTTCGTTTTCGAACCTAAATTTCGGTTTCTTTTGTAGTTACAAAGCGATTTCACTCGGTCAGGGTCAAGGTCCTGTTGCTGAAGATATGATCACAAAATCAGTCGCAGCTGGAGAATGGGTCTTCTTACAAAATTGTCATTTAGCTGCTAGTTGGATGATAAACATGGAATCGATTGTAAAAAATATCAACGAAGGTATTACTGTCTGTCATCCAAATTTCCGATTGTATCTCAGTTCGATGCCTGCAAAAACGTTTCCTGTTAGCGTTCTCCAGAATAGTGTGAAAGTTACTAGCGAACCACCCAAAGGTATTCGTGCAAATATGAAACGTGCTTTCATCGATATTACGCCGACATTCTTTGAAACACATCGTAAGTTACTTTTCTTCTTTTGCTGTTTAAATTCAATCTTTATGGCGATTATTTTCAGGTTTGGAAATGGACTGGAAGAAGATCGTTTTTGGTATTTGCTTCTTTCATGCTAGTCTACTAGAACGAAAGAAATTCGGACCATTGGGTTTTAACATTCGTTATGAATTCAATGATGTAAGTGATGTGAATAAACATATCGAATATGAAATTTCTCTTCTAGAGCGACCGTGACTGTGCTTTGTTAAATTTTGATATGTTCTGTAAAGATGGAGCGATTCCATGGGATGCATTAGTGTATATAACTGGTAAGATGATTATTTTCTTCTAGTAGGAATGAATGACGAGATGATTACGATGCATTTTTCAGGTGAGATTACCTATGGTGGTCGTGTCACTGATTTCTGGGATCAACGTTGTTTACGTACGATTTTACGTCGATTCTTCTCGCCACCAACTCTGGAATCTGATTATAAATATTCTTCATCGGGTACATACTATTGTCCAGAACAGCAATTTCTTCAACAGTATCGAGATTATATCGAAGAATTACCGATTACGGACAATCCCGAAATCTTCGGAATGAACTCGAATGCTAACATCACATTTCAAGTAAGATTTTAAATTCATTTCCTTGAGAATATCTTCTGATCGAGTCGATTTTTAGACTCAAGAATCGAATTATCTTGTGAATACGATTATCGATATTCAACCACGTGTATCATCAGGTGGTGCTGGCAAATCCAATGATGAAATTGTTTACGATCTAGCTCAAACCATTCTCGAGAAATTACCAGAAAAATTAGATATCGAAAAAGCTCCGCGTTCACTATTCGAACCTGACTCGAAAGATCGATTGAATTCTTTGACAACTGTTCTTCAACAAGAAGTCGATCGATACAATCGTCTATTGAATATCATTAAACTGTCACTTGGAAACCAAATGAAAGCAATCAAAGGTCTTGTTGTGATGGATGAAACTCTAGAAAAAAGTAAAATAACATTTTTTTTGCATCGTTCATTGAAATTATACGAATAAAATGTATTTTAGTGTATACGGCTTTTTTGAACAATCAAGTACCTTCAATATGGGCAGATGCAGCATATCCATCGTTGAAATCCTTAGCCTCATGGATAAAAGATCTTCTGTTACGTTGCGATTTCACTAGTGTAAGACATTTTCTTCGAAAAGATCTATTTGAATTCTAATGGAAACGTTTTAGCTTTGGATTATTCATGGTTTACCTAAATCTTTTTGGTTACCTGGTCTATTCTTTCCTCAAGGCTTTCTTACAGGTGTTCTACAAGTTCATGCTCGTAAATATGATTTACCAATCGATGAACTGAGCTTTCATTTTACCGTCCTACCATTCGAACGAGATCAAGTCACGTACAATGAAGAAGCTAAACGTATGGAATATGGAAAGAAACTTGAAGTTGATCAAAAAGTAATACTTTTTCGATAAAATGAACGATATTTTCGATAAAAATTCCTTTTCAGTTACCACACATAAAAGACGGTGTAATTCTGCATGGTCTTTACATGGAAGCATTCCGTTGGGACCACGAACGACAACAGATCTCGGATGCAGTTCGTGGCGAAATGATAGCGTCATTACCTATGTTACATATGGAACCTCGACAAAACTATGTTGTTGATCCAACACATTATATTTCTCCGTTGTATAAAACTGCTGCTCGAGCTGGTGTTCTATCTACGACAGGTAATTGAAATTTAAAAGAAAAGTCTGATTGATAATATATTCGATTTCAATCTTTGAAGGTCATTCGACAAACTTTGTCGTTACAGTAAATTTACCAACTGATAAACCACAAGATTACTGGATATCGATGGGCAGTGCACTACTATGTCAAATGACTGATTAAATAGGATATGAATAACATTTTTCCATTATTTTAAAGTCGAATGATTGACTCTGATTCTTTGTTTTTGTCTCTTTTGTATACACGTCAGTAACATTCTATAGTGATCACTACTGAATATATTTTTTATTCTCTTCATTCGAAAATATGATAATAAACAACTAAAGTAACTCAATTTCAAAGATAAGAATAATTTTATGATTGGATTCAGTTTCCAATATCTCGATAAAGAAAAAACCAAAGGATTAGATTGATAAAATAAAATAAACATTTGACTAAAACAAGATTCACTAACAATAATGCAAATCGAAGTAAGAAGATGTGATCGCAAGTTTGATTTTGATTGTTAATTTGATTTCGTTAGGAAAGAGAACCTTTGTCGTCCGATGAAGAAAACGCTATAGAAAATTTATCTCTTGAACATGTGATACATGAATGTGGATCATTTCATCGATATCAATTCATCCATTTCTTCTTTTTAAGTCTTTTTCCAATTGCGTCTGGAATTTTGAATTTTTACTATGTCTTTGGCGCAGCAGAAAATCCCTATACATGTCAAGTACCAAACACAACACATCAAAGTTTACATATAGAAATATCTCCCTCACAATGCTCCTATAATATAACGGATAAGTGGAATCGAACAATCGAATCTCGTCCATGTAGGATTTGGAAATATGATCGAAGTGTCTTCGGCGAAACATTTACTAGTGAAGCAAATTTTATTTGTGAACGCAGTATTCATCGTTCACTTCTTGCAACTATGTTGCAAATAGGTGCAATGTTAATCTTCTTCACTGGACATATCATAGATACGATTGGACGTCGTCGATCGATTCATTTAATAACTGCTCTGCTCTTAATAACCTCGTTGATTACACAAGCATGCTTACAATTCGTACCAATGTCCATAAATCAAAAGTAAGAAAAGCCTCGAGAGCTTTAGTGCTCAGAAAAATTCAAAAGATTAGAGAAATTAATCCGACGTTGACTGACAGTCTGTCATATGAATATTTTCATTTAGATTTGGACTACTTCTCATTAACCAATTGATATCGGGTATCGATACATTTATGGTTTCGTTTCTTCTCTTGATGGAAATAACGACGTCTGTGTACGCGACATTTGTCGGAAACTTAGCATTAGTGGCGTTTGCCGTTGGTGAAATCGTTATCACTGGTATGGCTTATGTTTGTCGAGATTGGCTCCGATTGAAATGGGTTATAACGGTATATGTGCTTGCACTTGTACCTTACTTATACTATGTACCTGAATCACCACGTTGGTTATTAACGAAACATCGTTATGTTGAATTGGAAAAACTCTTACGACAAATGGCACGATGTAACCGACGACCGGAATCGAGATGGTTTCCAATTTATCGATATGTCGTGGATAACCATCGAAAGCAGAGGGAGATCAATAAAAATAGGACATCGAAATTATCATTTACCGCTCGAGCACACCGATTTCTAACACATATACCAACAATGAGTAAATTATTCATAACTGGTTATATTGGTTTTATCACGTTGCTTCTCTATATGAAAATTTCTTATAATCTCGGAGCTATGGAAGAAATCAGTCCTTACATAAATATTATTATCGGTGCAGTTGCCGAAGCTGTCGGTTACATCATACCAAGTCTTTTCATGATATACTTCGGTCGAAAACCCGTATTTATACTTTTTCTTTTATTTACAGCTCTTTATTTATCTATTGCACCGTTAACTATCCGCCAAGATCGTTATGTTATTGTTATTATTGCTCAACTAGGAAAATTTGCGATTAGTGCTGCAGTTTGTGTCACGTATATATTCGTACCAGAATTATTTCCTACTTCAATCCGTGGCACTGGTATGGGCTTTTTTATTTTACTCAGCCGATTTGGGTCAACAATTGCACCTATGATCGACGCGAAGATTCGTCACAATCATTTACTAGAAACTTATACGTATTATCTCTATGCTTTCTTAACTTTTCTCTGTGTGCTCTTGACATTCTTATTACCCGAAACACGGAATGTGCCATTAGCTGACACTCTAGATTATACTTCGAAGAAAACGAAGAAGGCGTCATCAAACACCTAATCAATATGACGAAGCATGAACTATTATAATCACTGAATAATTTATGTGAGATATTGGAAAAGAAAAGTACCTTCTTTTTCTTTTTTTTGCCTATTGTTCTTTATATAAATCTATACGAGAATAACCAGACGCTTTAACTTCTTCTTTTGTCGTCTCTTAGCCACACAATTAGGAAACCATTCGATTTCCGTTTAGTTTCAAAATCAGAAAACCGAACTACTGAAATAGGACAGCAAATGGCGATATCAATTTAATTTGCCATCAGACACACAATCCGTTTTTTCTTTCTCTAAGTTTCATAAATGATGTGGCAAACAAAATCGAGTTGTAGTTCAATAGTTGTTCCAGTCAATAAGATCTATCTTCATTTTGACAGTTCCATTGATGAGTGTGGGGAAAATATGAGACGAGCATTTGTTTGCTTAATTGTCAATGCTGATTCTGGCACTTGCTTTGCATCTTCATATTCTTTGTATAAAGTCAAATAATCACATGGAAATTATCTGAAAGCTTGACAAAGAGGGAGAGAAAGAATAGCGGAAGAAATCGTGTCATCGTTGGTGATTTGCATTTAGTGCGGCATTCACTCTGATTTTCTTCTCACAATGAATGTGAAAACACAAAGGATTAGAAAATCAGGCTAACTCTTGATGAAATCAGTTCCTCGCTATATGCATCATCAGTAAGTCTCACACACAACGAAGCTGCGTCTTTCTCTAATTTAGATTACTGAAATTTACCGTATCTACCGTTCTCAACTCAATTATCTACCCTACTCGTGATTATCACATTAATATCACTGAAAATAGGTATGTAAACATTACTGTATTTGATTTGAATGTCAAATTATTTGAGCAAACGCCAGTCTATAGATGTCACTCGAATCTTTGCCTAAAAAAAGATGCATTTTGTATTTTTCTCGAAAATATCTGTACACAAGTTTATAAAACTAAGACATTTTTCTAATTGTTGAAATATCGAAATTACTAATTGGTCTCGTCGACCAATCAGAAAATCTTGAGCAATGATTAATGCCCTTTTTCGTTCTTTCTCTAATGTTCTTTCATCATTTATTCGAGATTTTGAGTTTTGCTCACGAGTTTTTACACAACAGTGTTCAACGTAAACAGCAATATCTAATAAAATTCAGTTGCGCTTTCTGTCTTCTCCCTCGTCATACTTTGCTCAATTTGAAAGAAAAATCGATTCCATCGTCTGTAGAAGACGAATAGAGACAAAATGGTCTCCAAAGTAAGAATTCTTTCGAGTGACGTAAATATTCATCTAATTATTTCTATGTAGATGTTATGAACGAAAAGAAACGTCTTTTGGTCCATTTCGACATGAACAAAGAATACAATACAGTACGGACAACGTCCAGTAAGTGTGCTTGTTTTTCTTCCATATGAAGAACTAGTTCACGTTTCGTACGACATTGAGAGATCATCTTTTGTATTGTTGTACTTTTTCTTTTCCTAGGTTCTGAAACAGCAGGTAAAGAGAAGATGTTCATAGGAAAAGGCCGGCTATTTGTTTTTCTATCATTTGATCACTATTCGCACGTCAAATTCATGTTAGCATCGGAAAGAAAAGCGCATTGCTCGATATTTTTAGATAGCTTTCTCTTCTCTTGATTATAAACATGTTCGTTACAGATGAACAATCATTCCTTCCCACGAACCCATTTGCCGAGCCAACAACAACGGCATCCTCGAATACGACCCACCATGGAACAGATGATGACATGATCGATATTGATTTTCGCAATTCCAATAACGACAAACTGAACAGTAAGTTGATTGTATGAAATCAATGATAAAATAATTCAAGATAAATCATTAGACGGTGTTATGAATGTAGATTTAGTTAACACACATTATGATGATTTTCAAACAATTGATTGGCTTAAAGATCTCATGCGTGATCGTTTTCGGCATCGTTTACTACGTGCTAAAACACACAATTCTCTTATAAACAAACTCTTAATGTATCACGACGCATGGTCTGGTTGGTTATGTGTATTGCTTGTTGGTCTAAGTGCGGGTGTCATTGCTGGAGTTATTGACATAGGAACAAATTGGATATCACATTTAAAACATGGAATATGTCTCAATGCATTCTGGCTGAACAGAGAACAATGCTGTATGTATTGCATTGATGATGTTTTTATGATTAGTTGAATCCAAGGCCGTGACGCCCTTCGCAAGCGTCATTTTAATCTATTCTTTGGATTTTTTTTTTGACTGTGAACATCATTATTTCTAGTCAATTGTTAGATAGATACCAGAATTCTCTGTAATTCTTGAAAAAACCTATCAATTATGAATAATTTCTGTCGAAGTCACGAAGTCACACTGTTAATTTCAATTAATCTTCCGAATATATTAGTATGATGTGACATAATCCAAAGCAATGTTGCTATTTGCTTAGGTACACTGTTGTCATGTTTTTAACATTTACCTTTTCATTATAAACTATCCCAAAGAAATTGACATGAAACACGTTCTTTTATTTATTTATTAGGTTGGGCTTCACGAAATCTACAATATACCAGTGTAAATACAGAAGAATGCGCCGAAGTAAGATAAAGCAATTTGATTTTCATCATCGAACTTTTGTTGATTTAAGTGGTTTACTTGGCCACAAGTATTTGGACTATATGGAACAGGATTTGGTCGAGACCTATTATCTTATATTATGTATATATTTTGGTCAACAATATTCGCAACATTTGCCGTTCTTTTAGTAAAAGTATTTGCACCCTATGCATGCGGTAGTGGTATTCCAGAAGTGAGTTACACATCCATCTCTTCAGCTTTTTTCGTATTTCATACATATGTTTGTTCAAATAGATTAAGACCATCTTAGGTGGCTTCATTATCCGTGGATATCTAGGCAAATGGACTTTACTAATCAAAAGTATTGGCATGGTGTGTATCTCTCGATCTTTGTTATGATTAAACCGAAGTCTTGAATTGATTTGTATAGATGTGTGCAACAAGTGCTGGACTTATCTTGGGTAAAGAAGGTCCCTTTGTTCATATTGCTTGCTGTTGCGGCAATATATTTTCGTATCTCTTTCCAAAATATGGTCGTAATGAAGCGAAAAAACGAGAAATTCTGTCAGCAGCTGCTGCAGCTGGTGTTTCAGTTGCTTTCGGTGCACCTATTGGTAAACACAACATGTCATGAAATAAAACACGCATTTTTTCGTTTGTAAATTTAGGTGGCGTTCTGTTTAGTTTAGAAGAAATTTCCTATTATTTTCCATATAAAACTCTATGGCGTTCCTTTTTCTGTGCTATGGTTGGCGCACTTGTTGTTCGGTCAATTAACCCATACGGAAATGGACATGATATCCAATTCAGTATCGATTATTCAGTACCATGGGCATCCTTTGAATTACTGCCGTTTATCCTATTAGGCATTCTTGGGGTAACAGATCAGAACGATTAGAAAGAGAAAACTTTATAGTTTTTTCAACATATTTTAGGGTTTGTGGGGAGCTTTTTTTATTAAAACAAATATTTGGTGGAGTCGCGTTCGTAAGAACTCTCGGCTTGGACAATATACAACCCTTGAAGTAGGTATTCGAGCACTTTTTCGTACCGGTCGGAAATGAACTACTCGTTCATCAGATAGAATTAGTTCGGTTTTATACAGAAAAAAAAGTACATTTTATCAGAACTAATCACATTTCTACTATGGAAAAATTTCATTTGAAAAAAAAAAACAAAAACAAAATTGGTTGTGTGTATTCAATAGGTTGTTGGCCTGGCAATAATTACAGCAATCATCATTTACCCAAACCCTTATACGCGTATGTCAATGTCAGAATTAATTAAGCGTTTAGTCAGCCAGTGTCGTGTGGGAGATATGATCGATCTTTGGTACGAGCAAAATTTAAGCATTTTTCACTTTTCAATGGATGAAAATTTTCTTGTAGTGATTATCCAGGTTCTCCATTTATCAGTGGCACATCAAAGGGTTCAGTTGGATTGGCTGGCCCAGGGGTTCATCGAGCTATATGGCAGCTATTCTTCGCACTTATTGTTCAAGTGTTACTTGTTACATTTACTATTGGTACTAAAGTACCATCTGGCATAATTATTCCTTCAATGTCAATCGGAGCAATAACAGGTCGTATTATTGGTATCATAACTGAACAATTAGCAATTCAAAACCCAACATTTATTCTCTTCCGTCATGATTGCAGTAAAGGTAATTCGAATGGCGACTTTTTCTTGATTAAATGATAGAAATCATTTGAAATTTTTTTGTTCAGATGAAAACTGTGTGACGCCTGCTCTCTATGCTATTGTCGGTGCCTGTGCATTTCTTGGTGGCGTTAGTAAAATGACGATATCACTAGTTGTTATTATGTTTGAACTGACAGGTGGCCTCACCTACATTGTCCCATTAATGGCTGCAGCAATGACAGCCAAATGGATTGGTGACGGTTTTGTCCGTGGTGGAATTTATGATGCACATATTGAATTGAATGGGTATCCATTTTTAGACAATAAGGAAGAATTCAATTTCACGACAATTGCAGCTGAAGTAATGCGACCACGGTAAATCTGATTGAAAGAAAATGTTTTCTTGGAAGAAAATTTGTTTATTTATTGACTTTGAATAGACCTGAACAACAAGCGTCATTGGCTTTTCTCACTCAAAATGGAATGACGTTTTCCGACATCGAATGTTTACTAAAAGAAACATCTCATACATTGTATCCGGTAGTTGTTACACGTGAACACCCCTACGTTGTTGGACAAATACAAAGACGCGATCTACAAGTTGTTCTCAGTACGTCTTTCATTGATCAGAGGAGACTTACCAAAATTCAACTTGAATCTGTTATTTAGGATCACAAAAAATGCATCGCTATCGTCTTTCGTCAAGTGTTATTCAATTCACATCTCCAGCAGAAGCAGCGCAGAACTCCGATTACGAATCTGATAGTCGATCAGATCAACGTCTAACAACAAACACAGAAGTCATTCGAATTGGCAACCTACTAGATCAAGTTTGTTGATTACTTTCTGGTGTAAAATACTCTTCTCTGCTTTCTAGGCACCAATTATTGTTACCGATCAAACTCCCATGGAAACAGTAATTGATTTATTCCGTAAGCTCGGTCTCCGTCAAGCATTTGTTACACGCAATGGGTAAGTTTACTTTTGATATTCTCGAAGCATGTTCATCCTTATTTGATTTCTTTTCGTATTTAGTCGATTACGAGGAATCATTACCAAGAAAGATATTCTTCGTCATATTCAACAAATGTCCTCTCATAACATCGAAACAACGTATTATGACAACTGAAATCTATTTATTTTTCTCTTACCTCGTTTTAATCACAGTGAGATCGTATAACAGTCTCTCTTTTGCTTGAACTATCTCATACTCATTCTATTTTCTTCCGTTTGTTACCAAAGAACTAAATCTAAACTATCACAAGATATCAATCAATTGCAACCAGCTTTCATCCGCTTTTTTTTGTGTACAGTTTATCTTCTGCGTATATCTATATCTGCAAAGTTCAAGAAGAAATTATTATTTTTTGTTTTGTTCCACTTTCTTTTTTATCTTATCAATGTTTGTTGTTCTCGTACATATATCGTTATTTACGTCTGCGTTTCTTTTTAAATTATGGTTTTGTTGAACAACATGTCTGTTTGTAAAGAAAAAGAACTAGAGATAATGATGATCAAAAGTAAAGTCGTATGAATGGAGAAGAATGGTTTTTCTGTCTATATAACAAAGAAAACAATCGAAATAAAGAGTCAGCGCTGGATTTTCGTTCAATTGTTTTCATTTTTCTAGATAGTTTATTTGATCTGACTTAGAAGGACAGAAATGGGTTCAATTCAGGCGAAAAACCAACCAATCGCACCTCCTCCACCGGTACAAACACCTGTAGTTGAAGGTGAAACAAAGCCGAAATGCAAAGCATGTTGCGCATGTCCAGAAACGAAACGTATACGTGACGAATGTGTCATTCTGAATGGCGAAGAGAACTGTTCAAAAGAAATTGAAGCACATCGTGCATGCATGCGTGCTGCTGGTTTTAATATTTAAAATATAGTTGAACTCTATCGAACTATTTCTCTCCCTTTAGGAAAAACAAAGAAACTGTGTTGTTTTTTTTTAATTAGTTTTTCATAAAATAAAACAGGACAAAATCGGTTATTGAGTACCTAAAAAGAGTTTAATTAGATTGTCGATGGAGTAATGACCATCGTCATCGAGTGGTAAACATCGTTCGATTTTGGAAATATCAGTTGTGTTAATCCCGATTTCTTTCAAGATTTTCCGCAGTTCACTGGGTGAAAAGAATCCGATATTATCGAGATCAATAATACGTAGGGCTTCACGTAATTCAATTTCCTCCTTCGTTAAAAGATGTTCTTGATAGGATTTGTTCTTCTTTTTATTTGTTGATTCTGAACGCTTCTTTCCTCGTTTGTTTGCAGCTGAACTACGCGATTGACGACGATCACTTTGTACTGCTGACGTCGATTTAGCTCGTTTAGATCTTGTTTGTACTGGAGAGTCGCCAGAAGCTAAAGGGCGAGTGTCGTCAATTGGTTCAACTGTCAACGAATTAACGGACATTGTAACGTCTTTTTTATGTAAAGATTCTAACTGTTGTCGACTATTTGTATAGTATGTTTTCACTACGGATGCAATCGAAGAGAAATCGATAGGAGATTCTTCATTAATCGACACTTTTTGTTCCGTTTCTTCAACTATCATCAAAGACGTATGCGCTTGTTGATCATCAGCTGGCAACGTAACAGATGAAGCGCTCAATGGTTGAAAATCGTATTGGTAATGACGCATGTGCAAGGAATCATCAATAGTCGGCAATGTCGATGAAGACATAGCACGAGATACATTGAATTGTTCAACAGGCGATAGATCAAACTCCTAGAAAACGATAGTTTTGGACTTAGATGAATGATCCCGTAAAAAGTGACATGTACACACGTTCATCAGCGGAAGAATGATTTCCTTCTCATTGACTATCCATTTTCCACTTGTTCCATCATGACTCAATGGTTTATCTAATAATTCTTCTGCGAATGATACGGAAATGTTCGTTCGAGTTTTATTCGAATCAGTCTCTTTTAATAAACTTCGTTCTTTTTTCTCCTTTCGAGAACGATGAAATTTCTTTTTCAAAGCGTTCAACAACCACGGTGCATTCGTATTTTGTGCTTTCAAAATTTGATCCATACGAACGGACATCGCACTCGGCAGATTTTTATAATAATTCTCTTGTATCGAACTAGTTGATTTGGAACTATTCAATTGTTTACTATTGTTAAAATATGTGTTAGTAAGATATTTCCATGAGTAATCTCCTTCACGAACCGCAGACAAGTCATTTTTCACAGTAGCAAACGATTTTGACATCGTCAAAAACAGATTAGTCTTGGATAAAACTTTCACGTCATCCATCGAACAGTTTGTCATTCGAACAATTCAAGTAGAAAAAAAAGCACACTCACACACACACGTACAAAGATACGAAAAGAAGAAAAGAAAATGTGATAAGTAACCCAAGCAACAGAAAAGAAAAGAGAAAGAAGAAAAAAAAACAATGAAAAATATTCTCAGACACCTATACAACCCGAGACCAATTTTCTCCAAGTTTTGGTTGAATGATGATGATGATGACGGGATCGAGACGGCTTGGCTGATGTTTGTTCTTGTTTTTGTTGTTCAAGTAAAGGTACAATGGATGCCGTCGAAGCCGGTAGTGTCGTATTTGCATCACGAAATTCAATCGCTGTTAGCACAGCAGTGTCGAATACAGTTTTAAGATTCTTTTCTGTTAATGCTGAACATTCAATATAACTACAAGCGTGCATTTCTTGTGCACGTGCACGTGCTTCTTTCTCAGTCACCGGTTTAAGTTTTTGTTGATCGAGTGTTAACAACGTTTGTAAATCTGATCGAAGATCCATTTGTGTACCGACAAGTATGATTGGAATTTTCGAATTGGAACGACGTGCACGCGACAGCCAATATGTGATTGCATTTTGAAATGATGAAGGATTAACGACACTAAAGCATAATAGAATAACATCACTGTATGGAATACAAAGGCCATGTAAAGGTGAGAATTGTTCCTGAAAGAGCAAAAAAGAGAACATCAGTTTTTGATTATTGCAATGCTCCTTGAGACAGTCGTTAGTCTACTGATTATTTGTTTTTTTATTTTCCATTCGACGACTGTTTAATATTAATGATCAGAATAACTAATCAGATATGCAAAATAAACCGTGCACGGAAAAATCGAGACCCAAACTAAATTAACCAAGTGAGAAGGGATTCATTGCAGTTGGCAAGTGCTGTTTTTTTTTGTCTCGTTGCATATAGAATTGATTCACACATGATAGGAATATGATAAATATATTACAGATGAATGAGTCTGTTGAAAGCTGCAGTACGACATCTGTTTCATGTCGATGAGAAGTCTAATCTCAATCGATTTTATACAAATAAAAAGGAAAAATAAATCGAATTCAATTTGTACTTAGTTGAGAAAGGATTTCCTCAAGTTGCTTTCGTTCGTTCTCTTTCTTGTTGATAAATCTTGTATAAGTATTTGAAGTGTGTCAAAGTAGAAGTGAAAAGAAAACAAGGTCGATTAAACGGATTTTTGCCACTTCTCTTTCAAGACGAATGTAAATAAAGACCTTCTCTTAACGCCTGTCGGACAAAATATTACAGGTACGAATGCTTACATTCAATCGACTCGTTTGATTGAAGTTGGAGAACGAGAAAGAAAAACGAAATGATTAACATTGGCACACTTTACTTGCCAATAAGATCTATCATTATGCATATACTATTACCCATATATGCTCTTTCTCCCTTTCAATAATTATCATTCTGATATGCACAAGTCTGTAGGGAAGATTCAAGGTTCTCTCACTAGAGAGTACTTGCATAAATATCGATTCCTATGTGTGGTATATGATATTTACCTTTCCTCCTGTATCGCAAATGTCGAAATGAACAAGTCGTGTGCCAACCGACACGTCGACAGAATAATTATCGAATGCAGTTGGTACATATTGCGTTGGAAAATCATTTGTTGTATAACTTACAACTAATGAAGATTTACCGACACCGCAATCACCAATGATAACACATGTTATATGACCACCTGTGTGATGATTATTATGTAGAGATGATGATGGTACAAGTGGAATAGATGAGCTTGATGACGGTGATGACGATATCGTCGTTGATGATTGAGTAGCTGATGATGATGATGTCATATCGTTATGTGTCCTTGCAGTTGTCGTCTCAAAACAGTTTGGACTCATTTTCTAAATAGTGAAAATGCGATATGACTGAAGGTTACAAAAAGGTAATAAAAAAAAGAGATGTAAAAACTAAGAATATAACGAAAAGACGAACGCGAAGAAGAACACGACGAAAAATAACGATTTTTTTTAATAGAAATATATTGACACATTTAACAAGATGCCAAATTACATGCGACGAAATACCTTTTTGAATATATACATCGGTTAGTTCGCTGTCATTGATAAATAAAAGAATATTGAGCAGTCATTTGAATAATAGTAATGTTGTTTATTAATCGAAAGAACAATAAATGATCTTTGAGATGCGTATAACAACAGAAATCAAAAAAAGAAAGAACTTGCTCGTCGTAAATGCTCTTTTCGTCGGTTCTGTCTTTCTCTCTCTCTCTCCCTCTCTGTTTGACGACCATCTCGATTAAAGATATTTCTTATCGTATATCATCATTTGGATTTCTTTACGTATTACTTCGCTTTACACTGCCAACAGCAAGCGATGACAACACAAGAGAAAGAACGAGAGGGCGATCTATCTCTGTTGTTCTCCGTTGCTTTTTTTATACATCTAGAACCATTCATTCATAATCTTTTTTTCTCTTCTTTCGTTCGCTCTCTGCCTTTCGGATGTTGTCAATAAAATATTATCCGAGAGCGACAAGGGATGTGCAGAACAAGAAGACTTAACATCATACATAAACACACAGACTGTTTTGATTAGTGTATAAAGACTTGTATAAAAGGGTAGACCGACTAAATCAAGATATCTGTATGACAAGCATGGTTATTCAGTGAGACAAGAAAAATGATTCCTGATGTTTATGATATAGTCGAGAGAGACACACGGAGAACGACGAAGGCGAGAAAAGATCTTGTCGAGTAAAATGTAAGCAAACTCATCGAACCTAAAAACAATAAAAGGAAACGGGCAAAAGAGAACAAGAAGAAGAAACAAGACATTGATAGTTCTAGGAAACATCGTTCGTGCAAGTCGAATTTGATTAATAAAAAGGATATGACCACGCAATCTACATGAAAGGAGACGTTCATCGCAGTATATTTTTCAACTGTCAATTAGTGACATAGATCGATTGTATTAACAATGATAGCCGAAAAAATGTTCTCGAGTTTGTATAACTAAATCGGATGTTTGACTTGCCGTATACTACTTACTTTAATAACCATGACTTGTAGATTGACGGGAAACAAAGCTTTTTTCAATAAAATATATGTCTGTAGATTGATGTAGTCGTTGCAATCGGAAATCAATTTTTTTCGAACAAACTACAGAGAGAAGAAAAATGAGAAAGGTGAAATCACGACTTTTTTCTCCTTATTCTTTATGCGCTTCTCTTGTCGACATCGTTCCCCTTGCGCCTTCTCAAGGATCTGATGAAAGCAACAAAAAATTTATGTTGTTACGTCATCGTCATCGCTTCTTTTTCTTGCCTCTCTTGGAGACATAAGGCACGCGTATGCTTTGAGAAAGAAAAGGTATAATAATTTTGATACACCTGACAAATACAAACATGCAATCTATCTTGCCTTGACAGTATTGATCGATAAAATCAATAACGATTATTAGAAAAAAATAGAAGAAACTACTTTGATAAACATTTAGATACGATGATGATGAGAGAAAAACGACGAAAAGACTATGTAGATAGACATTATGAAAATGTTGATCACACTTTGTCAAGGCGCAAAGTACTCGAGAGTGAGTTAGCGAGCATTTGTACGCAATGTTTCGTGTTACCTATTACAGTACAGTAATGAGACGATGACAGGAGAGGGAGAGAGAGAGAGACGAGAAAAGACTCGGCGTTCATTAGTAATCTAGTGTCTGTCGATTGTCCTTCATTCATTTGCAATCACTATGTTAAATAACGAAGATGACGAGCATTTAACATACCAATTGAATATCAATTGATCACGTAGATCGATACGAAATGAAAGAATGAAACTCACCAACGTAGCTGACCCCCCGACGTGGTACAACCACATCTGGTTCATTTCTCTCTCCCTCTCTTTCAAATCAAAATTCCTCTTTTATATTATATTCGTTGCGTGTACGTATGCGTGCGTAAGAGCATTTATACAGTATGGTGCTCGGACCGTCAATTATTCTTTTACTTCTTCTTCGCATCTAGCCAGCAGCCACGCAGAATATGATACCGCTTTTGTCTTCTCTGTTTTATCATGAAAATGAGAATATATGTATGTGACGGAATGTAAAAGCAAGAGAAAAACAACAAAAGAATCTGTGTACATGCGAACTCGTTAATCAATAGTGTATGCAATGAGTTTACGAGATCTTTCTTATGTACATGCTCAGTCTCTAATGTGTGCAATCGAGTATAGGAATAGAAGAGGAAAGTGACACAGTCGTTTTGCCTCTCGATTTACTAACATCACGCTTCGACTGAATACAACCTATCAATAATGCCACATCGATCAGTAATGATGAAGATAGGGAGACGTCGATTATGCAATAATAACTGGTGAAATCGATGGTAATAGTAAAGATTACCCTCACAAAGAGAATATATTATTGATCGATAGAAATGTTTTGATATACTCAACTCAGATGCTTTCAATTTCATCACATATCGATTATTATTCAACAATATCTCTGGAAGAAAGAAAATAAATATGAAGAAACCTCGAATTGATTGTCTATTGAACTAATATAAGTGTCTGACACATTATTCTCGAGTTCTTCGTCCATTAGCTGTCTTTTTTCTAAATAAATTAAAATGTCTTCTACGTCGAAAAGAAATTTTTGGATAGAAAAGGAAAAACTTGAACTCAAATATCATAGTTGACAGTACGAAGTATGATTTTGAAAGTATTTATAGTAACTCGTTTGCGTTCCTTGAAAAATTTTGTCCTAAATATCGATATTCTATCCTCATCGGGCACAACATATGATTTGATGGTGAGAATATTCTCTCAGGAACATGGTTCAAGTTCGAAGTATCACTGCTCTTTCTCTCTTTCATTTATGGTCTTGTTTGACCATGCATAATTGATTTGTGACTATATTACATAAAATATTATTAACAAGCAAGACAAAAGAACAAGAATGCTTCACAGCTTGATGTATACGATGAAATAAGATGACTTCTATGTCATGCACCCTGCTGATAGGAATTGAATTAACCTGCTTTTTACTGTTAAGACATGTTTAAGGGAAGATTATAATCGAAAGAATAGACAATGGACTCAGAAAAACTGCTGATCATTGATCGTTATTTAATTATTTAACGGTTAATTAGAAAGCAATGTACATTGTACGTGAAGAGTATAAGTGATACTCGAGAGAACGCATCGATTGAATATGTATTGTTTATCGGATAAAGAGAAGGATATCGGATTTGGGTCTATAAAGAGAAAGAAGACACGACTATCGCGTATCAATGCATAGTCAAGAATGAGAATGCAACTCAAGGATTTCTAATCTCCGTAATAGCTTAATATGTGACAAAATTGTCTGAGAAGGATGTACATGATCAAGTCATTCTAAGAAATTCCTTAGAAAAATATACCGAATTAATCAAATGAGTTATTCATATCATAAATTATCATGAAATTTTTTTTCTGATGTTTATTGCTTTCAAACTGAAATATCTTAGTTTATTGAAATCATTTCTGTGAACTGCATCTCATTCATCCGTTATGCTATATGAACCGGAAATGATAGAGATAAAGATGTTGATTATATAACAATAATACTCGATAAGGTCGATGGTTATCGAAATGATGATTTCAACAAGGAAAATGTTTTACATAGTTGATCCTATTTAATATTCAAATGTATCACAGAATTGGGGAGAAAACCAGTCAATAAATAAAGGCATCGATCTCAACGTCGGCATTTATTATTGACATTAGTTTCCAAGATGCTTTTTTTTATATTTCTCTGGAGGAATTCAGATGTCTTTTAAGTAGAAGAAGTGCTTTTCAGTGAAAAAAAAATCACAATTTACTGCAAGCATTTTTGTTTTTAAGATAGACAACTGTCTTTCATTCTATTTCCGTTGCTGTGTGCTTGAAAAAAAGTAATTTTATATTAGCTTGTTCAAAAACGTCCTTTTTTGATATTAAAAAGAAAAAAAAAGCAAAATATGAGTATTTGACGTGCATAATTAAACATTTGAGAAAACTAACAAGTAAGGAGAAGACGTCATTCGGGAAAAGTGGAAACAATTGATTGCAGAAATGACAGAATCACCGATGAGCATCCCAGTTTATGAAGGTTCGATGTTATCACTTCGGAGTACAACTCCATCGTTGGCTCGTTCGAGACCGATGACAGGTTTATCCAAACGGTAAATCATCTGATTTGTTCAACAGATTTAGAGCATTTTCATTTGTAGAAAATCAGAACCGGAACCAAAATGGAAACGTGGCGACTTGGAATCAAAATATCGTTGTGTAGCATGTAGTAATTATTTACGATTTCCGCTGCAGTTCGAAGATTGCGGCCATCATATTTGTTCGAGCTGTTTACCCGACATAATGCGGTAGTGATGGAAATGATAGGAGATTAATTGTTGATCTATCTTCTCTTCTTTAGTGTTGCTCCGCGTTGTCCGAATTGTCAACAGCCAATATCTCGCGACAAAATTGTTAATGACAAAGGACTACAACGAGATATTCAAAGCTTAGATGTCTATTGCTATTACAAAGATAAAGGTTGTGATTGGCAAGGAACATTGAAGGACTACATGGTGAGAATACAATGGGAAAAGATAAACTTGTGATGTGCAATATTTACAGGGTCATGCGGACACGTGCGGATTCGTTCAAGTGGATTGTATAAATGCTTGTGGTGTAAGATTTGAAAGACGTTTCGCTCCCAAACACCAGACTGAAGATTGTCCTAAGCGAACTGTTGTTTGTGAATTTTGTATGATAACTGAGACTGCTTACGATATGGAGAATTCACTTCTGTTTATTAAGGTAAAGGAAACATTATCTTCGAAGAAGAAATTCCTCATCTGAATACTTGCCCGGAATTCAAAGTCCCGTGTCCAAACGGATGTACAAATCAAGAATGGCCACGTGGTCAAGTGTGTAAATCCATTCGAGTTGATGCAAAATTTTTATAGTTTGTACTTTAGATACAAAATCACTTGGATACGATGTGTCCAAAACAAGAATTATCTTGTCCATTCGGTGAATGTGGCTGTGAATACCGTGGTCAGCGAACAGAAATTACGAAACATATGCAAGAATCACCCGGTCTGCATTTAAATCTTGCTGGACGAACTATCACAATCCAAAAGAAACTGTTACAAGCCTATGAAGAACGTACAAATGAACAAAAGAAATGGATCGAATTGTTATCTGTACGGGTCAATGCTTTAGACAAAACCTACGGAGCCCAATACATATGGAAAATCGATCATTATCAAGTACAACAGAAACGTTTCCATTAATCAACAAAAAATCTTTTTGGTTGTTTAGGAGCGCCTAGAAGAAGCACGTTCAGGCAAAAAAACCACCCTATTCAGTCCACCTTTTTTAACAAGTCGACACGGATATCGTTTGGCACTTTCGATTTGTCTTGGCGGTGATGGAAAAGGTAAAAGGAAACATTCATATCTGTTCCAGAGAAAATTAGGGATTTCCATTGACTTCTTTCAGCAAAAGGCAAATACGTCTCGTTATTCATTTGCGTATGTCGTGGTGAATATGACGCTCTACTATCTTGGCCATTTTCACATCGTGTGACATTCACCTTACTGGATCAATGTGAAGACGTTGATAATCGTCGTCCAATAATATACAGTGTTAAACCAAATATTTGTAAAGAAAACAAGCCATTCTTAGGCCGACCGGTGACCGAACGTAATGCAAGCTTTGGTGCACAGAAATTCACTGATTTAGACACCTTGGCCACACTTGAATATGTTAAAGATGATACGATTTTTATCAAAGTCGAAATTGATAATGAAGATATGATCATTATATAAAGACAGAGAAAGATTTTTTATTATTTATTCGGCGCTGCTTTCTTTGCAAATAAGTGACGAGAAATTCTTAATGTTGTCCTTTTTTTTTCAAATACAAATTAACGTAAAAGCATTCAGTACTGAAAAATAAAAAAATAATTTTGATCCGATTAACAAAAAAATAGAAAATAATAACAATCGTGACGAAATTTTGATTTTCGATTGTCACAACGTCCTTGCATTTGACACTCAGGACGAAAATCACATTTAGAGAAAAATTTAATTTCTTTCCGGTGAATTTGTTTACTTAGTCGATTAAAAAATTTATTAGATTTCTCTTTTTTCTCGTGTTACCTTAGAAAAAAAAACAAGTGTATGTTTGACTGAGTAAACTGAATATTAGTATCATTTAAATTAAAAAAAAACGATCGGTTCACTCTTTGTTCTCTTTCATGAGTGACAACCGTCTATAATTAGTGTGCAATTCTTTGTCAACATTCATTGATTGTAGTAACGAAAGCGTAAAGTGAAAGCGAGAAAGAGAAAAGAGAGGGTTGGTGAGAAGGTGAGAAATCAGAAAATGGCAGTCGCATAAGCAGCATACATCGAACATTATAACACAAACAAAATCTTCGAGCTATAGAACAAGAAGTATTGCGTTTTCTTTTTCTTCTCGCTTTTTTATATGCTTGTTTCGTCATCTGCAACAAATGATTATCAGATGTCAACGATACCACCATCCATGACTGCCCAATCGGTTCGTGTTCGTACACGAACATTGAGACGATGTGAACCAGCATGGCCATCACGAGATTATGTCCGACAAGAGAACTATGCTCGACGAAAAGTGCAAGAACATCAAGGTTGGGCTTGTCCACGAACAATTCCGTACCAAGATGTTGCACCACCGGTCCTATCGCCGCGATCCTCGAGACCGATTATTGTAAAAATCGATATATCATTTTTTGAACAATATATAATTCAACAATTGTTTGCATAACCTAGACTGAACAACCGACAATTGTAATATCTGATAAAATAACTTCAAAAACGCAGAGTAGTGAAACTTCATCAAATCGACCGAAATCAAGTTCAACTGTGCAGGATGATCATTTGGTGAGGATAGTAAACGAAATAAGTATAATACTTTTGTTTGTGTTGCAGACGAGATTACAATTCGAAACAACACTTCGAGATTTACAATCAGCACGGCAACAGTACATGAAAAAATCAAGGTAAAACGAGTTTTTTAATGTTTAATGGAATATTTCACTGATTTCTTTTAGTGATATTTTGAGAGGTGTCAAACTAGGTCGTAGCGCAAAAGATGTTGTCGAGAAATTGTCTCGTAATGTAAATTTCACTGAATCTTATCTGAAAAAAGTTTATGTATTTATCATAATCGTATATAGGAAAATGTTCGTGTACAAAGCGTTGAAATAAACAAACCAATGAGTGCAGGCAGTGATGAAAAAGATCAAGATGCATTATATGATCGATTAATCGATGATTTCGATGATGATGATGATGATGATGACGGCGATGGAAGGTTACTGATCATGTGTATGTATTTCTCTTAATTGAATATGATATTTGTTTTAGTGAAAGTGGGATTCGAGATGATATCATGTCACCAAGAACAATGGTTAATGCGCATACGACTAGAACAGATCCAACGAATGCACGCGATTTGCAAAAATCTCGTTTAGATGAGTAAGAGATTCATGTTGAGAAACTTTTCTTCTCAAGAAAAAATTTGTTTTTCTGTCAAGATTATTGGAACATCCAGTGAAACTATGTCATTCAGCGCCACCATTGAATCGGAAAAATTTCAAAAGGGATATTATACGACCGTTTACACCACATTTCAATCGTCTTTCATCAAGATTACGTCTTAAAAGTCGAATGTCATCTCGGTATGTTCAATAATGCAACTTCTATTTCTGATTCATTCTCTTTTTCTAGCTTCAAAGATGCACTATACCGTCAATTATGTTGCATTTTATGGTTCTTACGTGCTATGTGTTCGAGTGAACCGAAAAAAAAGATTAGTGGATGCTGGAATATCGATCAATGGTAAAGACTTAGATCTCTTATTGTCTTTTGGGAAGGTATATACTTCTATATTTTGAATTTAGGCAAGAGAAATCCAAGGGTGCATCCCGGGCAAATGTTGATCCGTCGGAAACTAGTTCTGAACATCGCACTGACACATCACAAGATGAAACCATGTCATTCCGTCCACAAATAGATACACTCGATGATGTATAAAAATGAACACATTTTTCGACTTCCTATCGTTGCTCAATATTTTTCAGAGTATGAAAAAACCACATACACATGAGGATCCAAGAATGTTCGTCTTTCCTCAGGCCAGCATTGGTATGTCTATTCGGATTTGAAACTATTGGTTTTCATGCGTAGGTCGTTTTCATATTGAAGATAGTCGAAGCGCAACACGAGTTTCAACTGATAGTGACGAAATATTTCACTTGCCAATCAATTCGACTTCTTATGATCGTGATTTAAATGAATCAGCATCTTCAAGAAGCCATCATGAAGATACGATTCAGACCGTCAATTTAGACAGTACCCAACCAACGGTATATATACCGAGAAGTTCTGCAGCATCAATCAGTTTAACAGGTAATACCAGTCGAGCATCCTTTTCAAGTGATGTGAGTCAACCACCTGGTGGTGGTGCCATAGTCCGTATACCGTCAATCCTCGAACAACGACGTCAACCCAATGCATTACTTAAAAAATGGGTTCAAAGTCAAAAAATCACCATCAAAACGTCGAAAAATGCCTTACCCATACCTCTACCTTTGGCCGTGAGTGACTTGTTACTAAGATTTTGCATGCGATCGAAAATTATGAAATATTTTTTAGGACAAAGAGATTCGTTTATTGCGAGTGGGTGATGCAAGTGACTTAAATCATATATTCGGTCTCGAGAATGCGACGAGTACGAGTAGAGAACAAGTGAGAGCACGACAGAATCGTGCAATCGAACAAAAATTGGTTGTAAATTTACGCCGTCGATCTGCGAGCAATATCGGGTAGGAAATGCTGAGTTTGTTTTAGAAAAGATGTTTTCTGTGTTTTTTTTTAGTGTTTGTCATTCAAAAGAACGTGCAGACGAATTACATAGTCTCAAACGAGAATTCGATGAGTTTACCGAAGAACAAATGACCACTTTGAATAATAGACTTCAACAAATCGATAAAAATCGTCTCTTCTATTATCAAAGCAAATTAAATGACATGCAGAAACTAATCCCACAATGTACTTTGAGTGAAAAATTATTAGTACAATTACGTTTTGACAAAAATAAACAAAAACAAAATGCTTTTCACCTCAGATATCGACCATGGTAACTATCTCATTTTCATCCATTGCATTCTATTTCATTTCCTTTCTGAATAGGTACATCGATTTGAAAGAAATGGTTGAACCAGAATATCATGACAACCAGTTAATATTGTGTCTCTTGAAAGAGATGAGAGAATATGCTGATGTAAGATATCTTTTCCTCTAAAACTATGAAATTCACTCATTTGTAACGTTGTTCTAGCCAAGTCATACACCGACTGCGATTCGATTTAAGTCCATTCTTCGAGACTTGATGCCTCATGAGATATGCCATCCGGATATTATGGCCGCGATAGAATTCGTTCGTGTTCACATCGTCGAAATGGGAATAGAAGATTTCGATTCATTTTTCCGTAAACACTTCCCACAAGCTTCGAAGTATTTGAACATGGATGAAGAGACTAGCATGATTAACAACAACGAGAAAACCATCTGATATATGAACTGATTTTGTATTTACACTCTGATGCTTTTGCTTAATAAATAGCTGTGATAAATCTTCCTTGTTGAATTTGCTGACATATAATTAGAATAGAAGTGATCCGATGTTCTATGGAAAGGTCTAACGATATAACGCGCTGACAACTAACGACAACTACGAAAATCTTCTGAAATTTTGAATTACAACCAACTGTTAAAGTCATTGTTTTAAATCAAATCAAATTTGATGAAGTCAAACACAATGAACGAGATAAAAAATAGAACCGTTACTGACAAACAAAGAATTATCGAGCAGGCTGAGATAGTCTGTTATATTCAAGCCAAGACATTTTTCTACACTATCACATCCGTTGGCGTTCATATGATTTGACCTGATTTCAGATGAGTTTATCACAGGTGAAAATAGATAAATTGTGGGCTCGTGTTGATCCATCAGCTAAACCTAATCCTTTTTCGAATAGCCAAGAAATCAAAGTATTCTCTTTGACCGTGATCGCAATTGAAAATGAAGAATTTCTTAAAATTTAGACTACAACAACAAACACGAATGTTAAGATTCCTTCTGTTACACAGCCAACTCAACGTTGGCGACCAAATCAGCCTCTATTTACTCTTCCACCTCTTACAAAAAATACACATACGACTACATCTATGCGAACAATTCAAGTAATTGATCCGATTATCACACCAAATGTACCTATCAGTAGCTTAAAACATATGCAATCAGCTCAGAATCTATTCAGTATTGGTAAACGTATGCCAGAGGTTGAATTAGCTTTGAAACAATTGATTGCTGATATGGAAAGATGTCCGCGACCAGAAGAGGAACTACCACAACCGCTATCTCTTCGAGATGTAACATTACATGGTTATCAACGACATGCGCTTGCTTGGATGCAATGGCGTGAATCGAATCCACCCTATGGAGGTAAATAATTTACATCAGAATAGACTGTTTATTCCAATTGAATGCTTTCTCTCTGTTATTAGGAATTCTCGCCGATGACATGGGGTAGGTGCCTTTTGTTTATATGAAACAATAAATCAAATTTCTATTCTTATTAGATTGGGTAAAACAGTTACGACCATTGGATTTCTTCAACTCCGAATGAATGCTATAAAACCTCAATCTTCCGAAGAGATATTCAGCTCAACAAAGTCTAATCCAATTCCGACAACATTAGTTATTTGTCCGGCAACTTTGATGAGTCATTGGGAAAGTGAAATCAATAAGTATAGTCGTATGAGATGTTTCATTTATCATGGATCAGCGCGTAAAAAAGATATTCCAACTGGTGGTGCAATTCGTGCTTTTGGACAGTATTGTGTCGTTCTAACATCTTACGAATTAGTACGAGCTGAACATACAGCTGAAGGAGCGAAAGTAAAATACAAATTTGATCTTTTTTCAAAACAAATCTTTCTGGCTTTAGAATCCATTATTTTCTGTCAAATGGCAACGAGTTGTTCTTGATGAAGCTCATCGAATACGTTCACACAAATCTCAAACAGCTCAAGCATGTTCAGCTATCGACGCTATTTATCGATGGGCATTAACTGGCACACCAATACATAACAAAGCTGATGATTTCTATTCTCTTCTAAACTTTCTTCATTATTCACCATTTGATGTTTATTCCACGTGGAAATTATTCTCATCGAATCAATATAAATCGATTGAACGAATGAAAACCATCGTTCGTGCATTGATTCTTCGTCGTACGAAAACCGATTACGACTTAAATGGGAAACTACTTGTACCGTTACCATCCAAACAAATCGAAATTATTTGGTTGAAATTAACCGATGAAGAAATGAAACATTATCAACGCGTCAAAGTAGAAATGACCGATGCATACAGATTATTCATTCGAAATCGTCGTGAGAAGAAGAAAACAAATACTGTAGTTCTTTTCACACTGATGTAAAACTTGACTTATCTCAATTCAAATGAACATTATTGTCTTCGTTGCAGGTTGAAGTTACGTCAAGCATGTAATCATTTATCGTTAGTTAAAGATCTATCGACTGACGATGTATTTGATGATAAAGATGATGTTGCACTGGAATTATCCATGTTCAAATTGGATTTGAACGATACTTTCAATGACAAGAATATTCAAGCCCTTGCTAAAGATACTGAACTTCAATATGATATGACGTTCATGAGTACAAAGTTGGACTGTCTTTTGAAGAAGATTCATATGATTGTTAATCAACTCGGCGAGAAATGTAAGGAAAAGAAAACACGTTGAATTTAATGATTGTCTTTCAATGAATCGTTTATTCGTAGGTGTCGTTGTCTCATCATGGGTTGGCATGCTGAATATCGTTCGACATCATTTGAAGAAAAATCTTATACGTTCGCAAACGATCAGTGGTGAAGTGAAAATTCCTGATCGACAAGCGATTGTCCAAGCATTCAATAGCGATGAAAATGCTTTTATGGTAAAATTCTATAGATCTATTAGAAAATAAAGATGCGACTTTTCAATTGAAGGTTCTACTTCTATCATTGAAAGCTGGTGGTGAAGGTCTTAATCTTGTTGGTGGTAACCATCTCTTCTTATGTGAACTTTCTTATAATCCACAAAATGAGCAACAAGCATGTGATCGAATTTATCGAAGTAATTAAATATCATTTGATAATCGATTCAATTGAAATATTCGTTCTTGTGCTAGTTGGCCAACGAAAAGATGTACATATTTATCGCTTAATGGTGAAGAATACAATCGAAGAACGAATTAGTAGCTTACAAGAAACCAAACTGAAACTAGCTGGTGATGTATTAGCGGGTTGTATAGATAAATTCAGTTTGCGATTAGAAGACATTGCTTTTCTATGCTCATAAATATGAACACGATTCGATCGTTATCAAACCTCAATTGTTACTCTTTCTTATCCATACTAAATTTGTACAGTTATTCATTTCCTTCAAATAGATACAATACATGTTTTTTCGAATAAAACGAGATTAAATTAAGTTATTCATTTTGTACACATTCGATTATCTTTTTTTTCATATTACATATACATACATATATATGAACATAGGACATAAAAAAGAAAGGATAAACATTTAGTTAGAGAAATTTGTTATGTTTTGTTCGTTGGTTGAACATTGAGGATAGAAAAAGATTTAAAGAGTTATACCATTTGGTGCGCAATAGGCAAATGGCCACCATGCGAATGACAGTCGACTACAATCATCATCATTGGGGGAAGTTAAGCAATAATAACGTATAATTACACTCCAAAGAAATAAAACGATTGAACAACTTGTTATTATTGCACACCATTGTAATCTAGAGAAGAATGTATTATGATGAAAATGTTAGAATGTAAGGAACACTATACCTTTTCAAGACACGTTTTACTCGAGTTGGTCGGACGTTTTTAACTGTTGCACATCGATTGGGTTTTTTCTCAGTAGTCTTTGAAACGGCATCTTCTTTCGTCAATGTTCGATTAAACAATGAATCGAATTCAAGGGTCATTGATGAGATATCTTCATTTAATTCCGGTGTTGGTGAACGACTGGTCGTGCAATTTGTTGATGAATTTAAACCAGAGTCACTGGTTGTTATCGCTGCTCCACATGGCGATGACAATCGTCGAATGTGTTTTGATGGTGAGTCCATTTGATGAAGTTCAGGACTTGAACGCGATCGATTCAAACATCGACATGGTAACGATGCTGACGCCGAGTTAAACAACTCATCATCCTCACGAAGTAATTCTATTCGAAAGAGAAAGTCATGCTGGCCAGTTCAGAGCAAAATTTACCTCGAACGGAATGATATGGACAAACACCATTTGTTAAATTCTTTTTAGAAACGAAAACAAAGGTTATAATTATTATCAAGGAAGTCGAAGAAGAAACAAATCTTACAGATACACTTTGTTGTGGATGATTTTTCTTGTGTGTTAGCATTCCTAAAGAGGAAATTGTTGAAGAATATAGAACTAGATGTTTTAACATACCATTTTCATCGAATTGCTCTTGTTTTTCTCTGCAATAAAGTGATTAATGTAGAACTTCGAAGAGTTTGACCACTTACTTTGCTTTCGAAGTCATTTTTTGTACTTGTTTTGTTAGAAAATGGCACTTTAATCTCTGTGCCTTTTCATCACCTTGTAATTTGAATAACTGTCCTTCTAAAAGACGAATTTGTTCAACTAATAATTGTTCTTTAACTTTCAATTCTTCGATTGTTTCATGATATTCTTTCAAAGTTGAAATAACATTTGAAGAAGTCACATTTGTTTGACTTGATTGAGAGATTTCGTTCAATTCTATTTGAAATTTCTGTTGTTTGTCTAAATCAAAAAATATCACATTGAAATTCTATAAACATTTGCAATTCTGTAAATCTTTACGTCGACTTGCAATCAATAATGTTTGTAGTTTTCTAAAACGTCCTTCAAACACATCCTTATTGTCGATAATCTTCTTAATTAAGTTCTTAATGATTGATAAATGTTTTTCAATTAGAGTCGAGGTAGTTGAGATACTCTCCCGATCTTGTTCACATTGAATTTTCTCATTTAGAATTGTCAAATGTTCGTTGATATTCATTCCATTTACATGTAATTCGTGAAACTATTGAAAAGAAAGAAAAATGATTACATAAATACTAGTGCAAACGATCATAAACACACCACATCTTTCAAATGAATGGAATTGAAACTATCACTTTTCGATAGAAGAATTTGAACTTCCATATCATCAATCGTTTCCATGTTCGAAGAGTCAAGACATTGAGAAACACATTCATTTGATATATTGTCCTATGAAACGTTGAAATTCAATCCAGAATTCATAGATTACAGCATTTACCATCGTATTGATTTCAGCAAAGAGCGATTGACCATTTGAAATTGTGACACGCCGTGAAACATCAACACGTTCTTCCAGTTCATCACAAAGGAAACTTTCTTCTTCACATAGATTTGAAAGAGATAAACGTGCTTCAATTGATTCCATCTTTGCACTAAAAATATCCCGTAGACTTTCTTGTTTAACATATATTGATGACATACTTCCGTAATTGTTGACGAAGTTCTTCCAAATTCTTCTCCAAATTCTCATTTTTTCTCATTGTAGTCTACAAAAAAGACACGTATTTTATCGATTAATCTCAATATTATCTTGCTATCTACTTGATTTTCAACATTCAAATCATCGATCGTTTTTCGTAACGAATGAATAACTTCATTATTCTATAATAAATCAAAACGCAACAATAGAAGTACATTCAAATCATTCGTTTTGTTTTTCTTACTTCTTTCAATTGATTTTGAATAACTTTCATCTGTTCTTCTAATTTCTCTTTTTCATTCTATAAAACATCAATAAAACTGTATGGAAAATCTCAATTTTAAATCAATATCTTACTAATTCTTTCTTCCATTCATATTCAACTTCACCTAACTTGTTCACACATTGATTTCGTTCGTCTCGAATGCTTTGTAACTGATGTTCAACATCAATTAATTGTTCTTGGAGTTCAAATCTTTCTCGTTCACAACTTTCATTCTCTTCCTTTAAAACACGATTGGAGGTTTCTAATTGAGTCTTATAGATGTGTAAATCCACATTTTCATTTGCATAACGCGTACTACGATTAAGCTCGTCTTCTAATCTAAAAATAAAATCAAACTTTTCTCTCGAATCATTTGCAAACTTCAAAACATACGCAAGTTTTTTCTTTTGTATATCTTCGTATTGTATTTGTAAACGATGATGATCATCATCAAGCTTCTTATATTCGTCTTCAAGCATATGTAAGCATTCCGTTTGTCGTCGATGAATTTCCATCATTTCATTATAATCAATTTTGCATCTAGAAAAACTCTTTGTTATGCTTGACGGATGAGAAATGTCAACAAACTTTTCGTGATCGATTGATTTTCGTCGTAAATCGAATGAATTGGATGAAGCATCATCACTTGTATGTGACTCGATATTTTCTTTGTTTCTTTGCTTCTTCGACGACGATGAAGAATTAAGTGACATCGATGAAATTGATTTTGATACTGGTGTACTTATGCTCGATTTTCTAAAAGATTAGTCTTATCAAAATTTGAATTGTTTGATCGAAAATCAAATATTTACTCAACAAGTTCAGAATAAAGCTTTTCAACAGCATTGAATAATTGATCGAATGTCACTTGTTGATCGGATCCACCCAGTTGATTTAATAAAAAAGCAAAATCCAATTGATTCGTTAACTTCAAAGAATCAATTTTTACAAAAAAAAAGTAAAGCAATTGTCAATTTAACTTACCAAATCAGAATTTTGTTCAGTTACAAAACGAAAATGTCGAATAAGTTCACCTGCATTAACACGTTGATTTTTATCGAGTACACACGAATTGAATATGTGTTGTAAACTAATACGTTGTTGAGACGTCTCGGATCGTATGTTAAGTGATTCAGTTGATAAAGCTTTTTGACGATTAATTACTGGCGATGTCATTACAATCGTCAAGAACGAAATGAAATTCTATTTGATGAAATGAAATGAACGAAAAAGAGAAAGGAGAGAGAGAGAGAGAAAAGTTGACACAAACGAACAAAGAACTCAATTATGAGAATAGGACGATTTCTCTCACGGTTCATTGTGAAGTATTATTCAATAGAAGAGAATAATAGAGAGGATCGTTGAAAATTTTTATCAAGATTCTTCAGCTATAATTGAACAATAAATTATAGATGTCATTAATATCTGAACAATACGAAATGAAAGACTTTCGAATTTTACCATAAAATATCACTCTTACAACTTATGTACAGACAGTGCTTGACAAGAAGAGAACAAAAGAAACAATGCACTGGTTTACTCTGCTTACTTACAACTTTTGACTGAATTATGTCTGACAAAGACATTGGCATTATTGTCATTCCCCAATCATCTACCGACTGAGATTAACAATCATCGAAATATACTGCTTTCATGTCAAATGGATGAGTGATCAAACGTTTGTAATCGTTTCAAAACTTCGATGTAATTTGTCTTTACAGAGTATTGCTAAGATTGATGCAACAAGGCAGGACAAAGATGATAAATGATAGGTGATAGACAGGACGTGCCTATGTTTGCATCGTGTACTCAACATTCAAGAGCATATCTATGTTCTAAATGTGAAGAACCGTCAACCAGTCGATTATGCCGCCATAATAGTTTAGAGCTGAAACTATGAGACACCTTCTAAATGTTTACTAGTAATAATATATAGCACGAATAATTCTTGAAAAAGGATCAGATTTGAAATTACATGGTCTTCTCATAGAGAATGGTTGGATTGATCTTGTTTCATATTATAAACCATATTTACCATTTTCAGTTGCAAATAATTTAGTAGAGAAGAACTCTACACTCTATAATCATATTGAAAATCAAGTCAAACAATGTGAACAGATACTTTCTGATCAAGTACACATTTTCGATAAAACATGTGATCTTATTCTCAAGAAGATAATACGATATGGTACAATGAATAATTATTATGGAACTCGCCAAGCAAATAGACGTGTCAATGTTTTTGATAATCGTCTAGATGACACAATACTTGCCTGTGGGGAAAAATTGGCCATCAGACTTGAAATATGTCACATCTTGTTTACAACGACAAGATGTTTTGTGATGTTTACATATTAATGGTATAAATCTAAGATGGATAAAATGTTCAGATTCGGTTCTTAATACATTTGATTCTGGTCATTTTCAACCATCGATTAAATTATTACCTGATTCATTTCAACAAATTCCAATTGTACTTTACAATGATGAATATAATTTGGCGTGGAATCATTGAGGTACTGAGACAGTGTTAAATACTATAATGTGGTACAATGGAACTGGTTTTGATTCGGAAAATGGTACATTGGCTTTATCAAAATCGTGGATTGACGAAGGCGAATCAGTGGGACTTATTCGAAGGGCACGTTATTTAACTTATATTCTCACAACCTCAAGATGGTATTATAGTTTTTATCGGTCTTATATGGTTTATTTTGTATAAGCGATATCAAACTGGAATAGTCACAACATTCAACATTATTCGATTATTTCGATGAGAAACTTTTAATATTGAACGAAAGCAATCGATGTTTTATTCAATTTTAGATGATTCATATGCATTAGATAATGAAACGTTGGTGTAATATTAATCAAATCCTTCGATAATATCTTTTTTTATTCATGTTATAGTAGTTACTATTGATAATTAACTATTTTTGTTTATCACAGATTAAACAAAACTAAATCGATATGATTTTAGAATTTATCAATTCTTTGAACAACACTACTAGACGTATATTGAGAACAGCAGCATGAAAACTATCCAACGATGAATATCCTGCAAATATTTCATTGCACATTAGTTTTCTTAAAATCGCTTTCACCTTATCTCATTGAAAATTAAAATTAAAATTCATTTTCTACTTTTTCTATTTCTGAATATCATCATATGATAATATGTTATCTTTAAGCAAATCAACATTTCACTGTTAATTCATACAGAGAAATACACACACGTTTGAAGGTGAGAAAAATAATGTAATAAAAAGAGAACGAACATACATTTCATAAATCTCAATTGCTTTTTTCAATGTTATCAAATAATATATCATTATCATTATCATCCAGAGTTGCCAACAACACTATAACTACCACCCCAGGATCCATAGTTGTAAGTAGTGACGCCATTTCGAGTAGTACTTGTATAACTACTTTGACCAGGTAAAATTTGGATGATGACTGTAGTCGTCACTCCGTTTTGAGCATAACCAGCATGTACAGCAGCAGCATTAAGATTTGAATCATCTGTATAAATATCTGAACCCCAAACACTTCCACTCAAAGATCCTGTTATTGAAAAAGAATAATATTGTCCATTATTGCCTCGATAAGTAGAGGGACCTCCGCTTCCTGTTATTACATCTAGAATTAAAGATTTAATTATATATAAACATAACAAGAAAGAAGGTATAGATTGGATTATGGTGTTCTATTGATAATTCGTTCGTCGTGAAAAATAGTATTGAACTATTGATCTCATCCAATGAAGATATGAGAAAGGAAAAGAGGGAATTTATGGAATGAACCATTGCTTCGCTTTCGTCAACATTATATGGTGGTTCTCTCAATGAAACTTCAGCTGACAACATGTAACTGAACTTTCACAATGTTTTTTACGCAATTTACAAACATTTGTTGAATTTGCAGAAATGACATTTAAATATAGACTTAAATGATATATACAATGTTAATAAGACTTTATAATTTTTCATATGGAAAGAACTCAGATATAAAGTGGATATTGAAATTTTAATTCCTTCTGCGATATCAATATGAAAATATTTGTCAAATACTAATTAAAAGTTTCAAACTGAATCATTGACTTTTACTTACTAGGTATTGTTGATGGGGCTGTCGATGGTGTTGATGATGTGGATGATGATGATGTTGTTGTTGTCGATGTTGATGTTGATGTTGTCGACGTTGTAGATGTTGATGATGATGAAGTTGATGTTGTGGATGTTGTTGTTGATGAAGTTGACGTTGTGGATGTTGTTGTTGGTTCTATTTTAGAAAATGAGAATTATAAATATAGAAGAAGATCGGATAAGATTTGATTCTTTCTAAAAGTTATATATTTACTAACCAGGTGGATTTCGTGTTCCAGCAATGACAATCATAGTAATAGTATTTGTATCAACTAACATATTTCCATTTGGATTTGGTATATTATCAAATAATTGACATGTTGAAGTTAGTTGATGAAAACTAATTGCTCGACAATAAGTTTGAGCTAAACAATTCATTTTACATTGGCGAATGTCCGATAAAATATTAGTGACAAATGGCAAACAAGTTGTATTAGCACATTGAAATTTCGAATTAATTATTTTTGACATACGACACAATCGAATATCTTGTTCAATCGATTGTTTAATAAGAAAAAGCAAAATTGACACAGAAATTCTTCCACAATTCATAGTCAACTATATTTCAAATTAAAAACAAAACACTCAACTGAATAGTCAAATTCACTTCTTGTTTTTTGTTTGAAATTAACGTTTTTTTCGCTTTGGAGAACAAACAACATTATTCTAATCAAGTAATGTCTTCTCACTTCTTTTATCATTGATGTTATATCATTCAATTTGCACAATGTAAAGAAAATAATATAGGAGAAAAGGGTGGTGTTTGTCATGAAAAGAAAGAAATTTGTTTCTCTTTACAAACGACAATGAGAAGAAACCATCAAATGTGAAAGTCATAATTTCAAAAACATATTTTAATTAGCCAAAACCAGACAAATATGTAAATATCGTTCGCGTATTCGAGAAAAAAAAACATCGAATGTTCAGGATGGATAATCCATGAAAAATTCCGAAATTCCTGTACATATTAACAAAAATTAAAATCTAAAATTCATCAATATGTATTCGTTTCTTTTCTGTGTTTTATTATTAGATCAACAAGTATTTTATATTCTATTTGACTTTAACTTTATGTAAATAATTACTAGAGATAAAGATTATCTTCTTCTCCTTAGAGACATTTACGAAAAAAAATCCACATACGTCAATCAACATAAACAAAGTCATAATTTCAAGTTTAAATTAACTGAATGTATTCGAATAAAATCATTTCATAAACTTCTTGAACAACAAATAAATTGTTTCGATTTAAATGAAAATTCATCTGAATTAAGTTCAATTCGTTTATCAAATGATGTATCATGTCTTCAACAACCAACTGGAATACGTTTATAGGTATTATTTGTGAAGTTATTGGTACAATTTTATCTTTGGATTTATTATTAATTTATTTGTTTTTAATAAAATTCTTCATTGACCATATTTCTTCTCATGAAGTCAACCAATTCGGTTTCCGATACTTGTTCGACATGGTCGCGAGTTGTTACTTGAACATTTTTGCCTAAGATGATAGACGAGATGAAGACTTGATTCTTTCGGCGAGAAATTGTGGACGCGCTGTCATCATAATCATTGATCCTAAATGTTCAATGCGGATATTTGAAACAAAGAAACGTTTTCTGGTGGCGCATGTTTTTACCATTTGTTTTTCGTGTTACTTGATCACAAAAAATCGTATGTTTTTGTTTAATCCTTTGACCTCTTCTGTTGCAAATTGAGATTTAGCTGTTGTATAAAGTAACTCACGTTGTAAACATACGCGTATAATTTGATAAGATTGATGGTACATGCGGATGGCGCGAAAAGTGCGTTCCAAGGATAGTTCAACTCAACTTTCAAGTTTGACACTACTGTAGTATATAGAGATGTCACTCATTAGCGTTTACACTGAAGAAAAATCTGATAAAGTTTTAAAAAGAAGAGTGAGACAAGTAGAAGATTTTTGCTTATGATATTAAAATAGGTATAACATCCGAATCATTTCATCGGAATAGAATGATATTTGGAAAAAATCTTTTTCTATGACAACGTAAACGAGTATGTCTTCGTCCAATCGTTCTAATATTAAAAGACGCAAAAAAAAAACTAATGGACTCATCTCATACTCACGTTATTTTACCGACTAACGCCACAAGTGCTGTCAATCCACTAGCTGCTACAACTCCCGCGGCAGTTGCCCGAAATACAGTCGTACAGACAAACTGTGAAGGTGAACCACTTGAATATACAGAAATCATATCAAAGGGACAAGAATACGAATCGCAATCATCAACAAAAGATATGACGACAACGAAAGCTGATGAAGATTTAAAGGCGAAAGCATATACCCTGAAGGAAGCTGATGTTTACAAGCCACTCGCTGTTGTTTCGGACTCGACGCCAGTAACTAACGCAAATAATCAAATTGTTGGCTCAACAGCATCTGGTAGTTTGACTACACCAGGTAAAATTGTCGGTGATTTGGAAACTATCATTGCAGAGCATAGTAAAGCTATAATAGCAGAACCTGTAACAGACAAAGTAACAAAGTCCGAGACAAACGAAACGAAAAAATGATCAGATTCTTTTGTTGAATAAGTATTGAATTTACTGATAATTAATCAAGCATTTCAGATTCTTTTTTGTTCACTTTCATGTTATAATTATTTATCGTGTATTTTCACCGACAATGTTTTTGAATAAATTTTTATATTAATCACGCATATAAGACATGCTCCAACTGTTTATAGTTAATCTTGTGTTTTTATACTCTTAAAATACTTTTTACAAGACTGTTAACGTCATTTCATACACTCGCTTTCGTATACTTTGTCTTTCACATCATTTTGTAAAAAAAAATATCATATGACCATCCATTATCGAACTAATCGTTTTTGATAACCTATCGGAACGATGTATTACACGATAGCAAATATACCGAAGGTTATAGTCCACCCAAAACACTTATGATAAGTAACATCACATTAATGACGTTAATAAATTTTATCGTTAAACATAATAATCAAACGGATATTCGTACAATTGTACGACGAGCAAACAAATAAAATTTTATCGTCGTACTCCTAAGTGATCTGTCGAAAGTCAAATCTAGTGTTGCTTTCATTGCCGGCGAGAGGCGTGTATCTTTTTATTGAAATTTACAAAAAGAAAAGAGTGGGGATAAAATCATAGAATCATCCGCAATACTATAATGCCATAGATTTAAAACTGTTCATCTGTTCGTGTTTCTAAGGTGGTAATAAATAAAATAGATAATGATACTCAGTGGAGCTATTGAAGTCAACGCATAACCGGCAATTTGAAATGGTAATGGATAGACAAATGATTCATATGAAATCAAGCCCACGGTACGAAATGCTATGGCCAGCATACTAAAAAGCCATATTGGCACAACAATAATCCAGCAAAGCCATATATGTGTTAAACGACGTTTTAGAACTTCGCTAAAAGAAAAAAAATCATTAATGTTTCTGAATTTCGATGCGTTACTTTACCTGATGTGTGCGATGAATGTCTGACCAGGCCACTGTTGGGGTGGACACTTTTGAAACCATGATTTGAATGTTGTGCGATAAGCAAAGAGAACTGTCGTTAACTGTGCAATACATATAATTAGCAGTGGCAGAGCACCACAAATATAACCATCAAAAATATTAAAGATGTAAAATCCAGCTCTAGTAGTCATGAGAAGACCGAATGAAAATGAAATTAGAACATAGACAGCAACAACCACTTCTCGTCGAATTTTTCGCCTTTTGGGTGATCGTTCGTACCATTGATCAAGTTTATCGAGTGTTGCTGTAAGTACTAGAAACGCAAAGAATTCATTGAGAAAGAAAAGAAACTGCTGTAGAGCTCTAATCGTACCACTTTCACATGTAACAAATTGTGAATCGATACCAAGTAAGAAAATCATAAAAAAGAATGTTATTGCCCAGAAATGTGGTAATGGCATAAGACTGATTGCTTTCGGATAAACAATAAATGCTAGACCGGGTCCACTGGACACAACTTGTTCAATAGATACATTGGCTTTATGGCTCATAAAACCCAATACAGGAAATACAACAAAACCGCTGAAGACATTCGTCAATATACTTGTTGTACCAGTTACAGCAATATCACGGTAGAAATTATAATCAGGCCGGTTATAACTTGACAGAGCCGGAATGATACCCCAGCCAATACCATATGCCCAAAGAACATGTCCTGAAGAAATGAAAACAATTCTTTAGAAAGGCCTATAGCTTCATTGTGAAGATATTTTTCACCTGCTGCTTGTGTCCATGCTTTTTTATTTAATAATGCTTGTCCGTTAGGCACTAAATAATATTTTAAGCCGCTCCAAGCACCATCTAGCGTCATTCCTCGAATAAATAATGCAATCATTGGTAGGTACGGGAACAAAGCTGTAAATATGGCCACACGACTTGTTAATTTAATACCTTTCCATAAGCATAGATAAATAATTGTCCACATGACTACTAGGCCAACAACACTTGGCCAATGAAAAGTTGATAGACCATCGAAATCGTCTGATATATTGATAATCGATGTATTCCAAAACCGTTCAACTGAACTGATAATACTTGTTGTTGTGTTTATCTGTAATGCGTCATCTCCTAGTAAAAATACAAAAAAAAAACAGATCGTTACATAACGAAAGGACATTATCAAGAGGGAAATCTTCGATTACCTACTTCATCGCTCCACGGTAGTCGACAACCGATGGAGGCAAATGAATGAAAGAGATAGAGTCCACCCCAGACCATAATCATGATATAGTATAGAGCACCAAAGAACGATATAGTTACCGAAGCAATACCGATACCACGCATTGCTGGTGCAAATTCCCAACAACCGACAGAACCTTTTCGTGAAAATTGACCAAGTGCTGTTTCCATCATCAGCAACGGAATACCACATAGGACACAAATAAGTACATAAGGTATGACGAAAGCAGCACCACCATTCTGAAACGCCAAATACGGAAAGCGATAGAGACTGCCTAAAATAAAAAATTACGGTTATTCATCGATTATTAGTTTTCTCATCGTTCGTTATCGCTACATTTGTACAGGTTATTATTGTTAGTCTATTGACACAGGTAATACGACACTTTACGTTTAGTATCAGTTTTCAAAGGCGCTTCGACCTTGACTACGAACGGTTCGATTTGAAAGCGAACTTAACTCAGTAATCTTCGACTAGGTATTGAGTTATATTTGCTTATCTTACCAAGTCCGATAAGTCCGCCAAGTGTGGTAATTAGATAATCGCAATTATTCGACCATGTTTCACGCGTATTTTCTTCATCAAGAATTGGTTTTCCGCTGGAATTCGAAGGATTATTTACAATAATTGTAGTTGCATTCGATTCTGGTTCAACTTCAGCGATATCACGTGACGATTCAGAATAATCGTCGAAATTAATGCGTTGTTGCAGCGGTGTTTGTTGTTGTTGGTCGGCAGTAAGCAAAGAAACAAACATGCTCGCTGAATAAGATTTCATCTTAACAATTTAATCAAATCGAACATCGTTTTTTTGTAACTTTTTATTGGACTTTGGATTCAATGATTCATTAGCAACGAAACGATATAAATCCTCAGCCATGAGTCTACACACCCTATTCCTTTTTCTTTCTCTTTTTTTTTTACATAAATAAGAGAACGAGAAACACAGCTTGGTTAACATACGCACTCTGTTCTTTCCTTTTCCTAACAAAATATTTTTTGTTCTTTCATCTCATACAATGCATAGAAAACGTTCCTTTTTCTGAAGAAAAGAATTTCAAGAACGCATAGAAAGGAAAAAAGCTCAAACGAAGCTTGGATCGTGCTTTAGCTGCTTCAATAAGTTCATTTTTGTGCACCTGTACTCTTTAGTACTATAAGTATTGTACAAATGTCAAACTAGTAGATGATTCATTTACTAATAGTATTGCGAATCGATCGATCCAGAATGAGAATACTCTCTTCGTTAGATGGCAGCGTATGACGTATAATAGTCCTACGATCTAATTTTACATGTGCTCAGAGGAAATATTTGTACCCGAGTTATACCAAAATCTATTTTATGTTCGATAATCTATGATGGAGAAAAAAAGGGGAATCAACATCATGAGTACAAAGAAAATATGTGAAGATATGTAAGAATTTTTTCTCATATATATGCATTTGCATTCTTCCATAAACTTTGATCTTTGAAGCGTCAGTGGTACATGTGTGGATTATTATGATCCAAAGTACAAATCTTTGTATTGACATCGTTTTATGTAGATCAAAAGAAAGGAGATATTCGTCCGATCAATAATGATTTGCATATAAATCAATCAGAGCATAGATATGACGAAGAAAATCTTTTACTAATGATTTATACGGTTAACTATTTGTTTCTTGTAAAAGTTATTTATTATACAAATGTGTTGCATTATGTGTCACTCATGTTGATTTATGATCGCAATGAATCGAAAATAATGTTTGGAAAAGAACGAATACGTTTTTATTTGCTGAATACATAGTTATAATCTCATAGGATTCGGAAGAGGAGGAGAAGAAACAATGAAGATAGGAATCCGTATTCTTCTACATATATTGTCCAAAGACACAATGAAACAGTATGTTGACAAATCTCATATAACAAAGAACAAATTATGTATTCCGATTATTCCTCATTCAAACAATGGGGTGTGTGAATTTCAAGAAGGCAGGAGAGTTGATCTTAGTCGATAGAGGAAGATGTGATGGTATATTAGGTATAATGTTAATCATAGTATATTTATTGTTGAGAAAAGGAAAACAGAAACGAACCGCATGTCATCATAGTCACACTGAATGGATATGAAGGAAAAGATCACGGAAATATTCCGACTTGAAAGAGTCACAGTTCAGAGTGCAATATGAAAGAATAAAAGACATTAAAAATGAGAGAACAAGTGCATAACAACTGAATTAAAAAGAAACAAAAACAAGCAGAGAGCGCGACTAATCCACCATTATGTATGTGTGTGTGAGCAGAGGATATGAACCATGCATATACCTTTCTTGTTTAAGTTCATAATCGTCGAAAATAAATAGAGAGAGAGAGAGAGAGCCACACAGAAAATAGAAACAAATCGAATGACGGGAAAACTGTATAACAATAATAGGTTATCGATGTGATAATATTGCAGTACTAATCTATTCTTTGACGTCTTCCTCTTCGGGTTCAGCATTCCGTAACCAATTAAAAAATCCGGTCGTAGATTTCACAATTTCGTCATGGCCTACGAGAATAAACAAATAACACCTTCATATAATCAACGTTTCTATTTCAACTTACCATCACGTTCAGATTCATCCGGGTGCTCTAGCCATTGAATGAACGTTTCTTCTTTCACACAATCTGCGTCATAGAATTTATCGAATAGTAGTTGTGCCATTTCTACGAATAGAAAACATATTATACGCATGACTGAACGATGAATGAACGTTTATTTACTTGATGGATGTCCAAGTTTGGTGACAAAATTTTGAATAGCGTAAACTGCTTGAATTTCATCTTCTGGTTTCGTTTCGATTATACTACATAAAATATTCATGTTTTGTTTTTCAATGAAATCTTGTATTGACTGCTTTTCATCGCGATCGACTAAACGGGCTTCCAAGTACGATAAAACTATATTTCGAATATAGTATTTGCTGGCCGGATTCATATGCTATCATGAACAGAGAAGTTAGTAAAATTACATCTTGAAGGTATACACATACTTTCTGAATATAGGTTTGAATATTAGTGTTGGTCACAGACGCGCATTCCTCGTCTTCTTTTCCAAATAATTGAACCAATTTAGGATCAGCTGCAATTGAACTTGAGGTGCTGGTAGTTGAGGATGTGCTTTCTTTTTGTTCAGATAACCAATTGTATTCATTAAGGAACGAAGAGTCAACCATGTTCGACTTCAATAGATCATTGAGAGAATAACCAGTTGATTCCCAAGATTTCTGCACTTGAGGCTTGGACTAGAAGACAAGAGCATAAAAATACACGAGATAAAAGCGAAGATGATCGATTCTTACAGAAAATTCTGATGCGTATCGAATAATGTATTGAAACAATTGTTTAGATTTGTCATCGGGAACAGATTGTAAGATAGATTTCAATAACATCATATTCGATTCTACAACACCCATAAATGCACCAAGGATTTCACCTATATATTGCCAAATGAATGGAATATCGACTATGTAATCGGGTACAGCTTCAACTACCATTTGAAAACTGAAAATAATCAATACACAAGTAGATGTCATGCTATAAATTGTTATTTTTCATACCCAGTGGGGAATCCGTCGTTTGATATAACTTTTTCTCTGAAAGCACAGCCAAGTAGGTGTCCGATAGCTTTTCGTGCACGTGGTTTCGCTTCTAACACATTCGTGAATAATTCTCGAATGATAATTGCTTGTTGATCAGTGTTCGATGTGCAAAAATCAGTCAAATCTTCAATAGCTTCCTGCAAAATAAGAGAAAAGTCATTACCAGCAATGTATCATTTCGTTCGGCAACTCACTTTCACAGAGCGATCATGTTGGTCGGAATAATTTTCTGTATATTCTTCAGTTAATGCATGTACGCGAGATTGAGTTTTGCCCTCATCGAACGCTTGACTATTTTCCGTTGACGAAGTTGCAGATCTTTTAGCCGTACTTGGATCTGGTGAAGCATTACGAGATTGTTCACGACTGACAGCACGTGATCCTTCACGTGAATTTGACATTGATGTGTTACTGGAGTTGACTTCTTCGTTATCACGTGATAATCCCTAAGAGAAATACGAAAATAAAATAGATGAATGGTGATCACACAAATGTTGTTCTAATTTACATTGACTGGCGGGCGTTGGGTAGAGTTAGAGACAGCTTTGGAGAATAGCATGTTTTGTGGGCGGAACGATGGTATAGAAGTTGTCAAAGGTTTAGTGGTTCTAAAAGAAGAGTTTGCCACTTCTAGAATCGTATGTACATCTAAATTAAAAAATGCTCACCGGTTGGCATTGGCTTGATCATCTTCAGATTTCTTTTCAGTTGTGCTTGCTTTACCCCAGACTCCTTGCGGTTTTAGATTCAATTGCTATAAGGACAACAATTTGTATAAGGAAATCTCTGAATTGATTATCATGCTTACTGGTGCATTAGCTTTCTTGTCTGTTGATTGATATTGTCGTATGGAGTTCACGTTAAAGCCTTTATCGGTTCGATCTGAAGCTTGTCGATTTGATTGTTGTTTTGATCCGCTGCCTCGACTTCCTCGCGATCCTGTATATAATGGTGGATTACCCGATCCGTAATTGTTATTTCCACCGGCATTGTTTCGATATTGATCTGCTCGTTGTTGTCTGTCACGTTCTTCTTGTTCACGTTTGCGTCGATCTTGTTCATGAATTTCATCGATGGTTACTGGTTTGGCTTCAGCCATACGAGGAATCCACTTAGCCTACACAGAAATGTCAGTTCGTGAAGCCGAAAACATTCTTCGAGCATCAGTTACCTCTCTCAGTTCTAACAGATCTTGAATCATAAATCGTGTTCGTAGTGATATTTGATTTTGTTGGACAATGTCGTTTAACTCATGGTAGGTTTTGGCCATTGCTTTCTTATTCGCTGGCTAAAACAAAAACATTCGTGAGTCGGATTAGCAATCAAAGCTGATCAATAATAAAACATGCTGTTAGACATAAAACGAATGTTAGTGAAAACATTTGCAATTTTAGTGATTTTATCGTATACTAACTTTCTGTTGCTATTCAAACACAAAGAGGAAAAGAAAAGAATCATTACAAAATCCAAACAATATATTTTGAAATACTATACCTTTTCATCAAATGTTTTGCCAACAGTACGTAGAAGGCGACATAAACATTCGAGATTTTCCTCATCAGTTTTGTCTTTCAGTAAATTTTCCATACAGCTATACATGATGGATTCTGTTAACATGCCCAGTTTAAATAGTTCACCAATAAAGCTACAGAGAGAAAAGTCAGTTTGCGCTACTTCGTTTGCTAGTTTTGACTTACAGGATATTGCCGAAATGTCGTCGTTTTGCTTTGTTCAAAGCTTCTTCTAAGTTTTCGGCTTCTTCTTTCTGAAGTTTTTCGTCGGTGATTTTATCAACATCTGCTTTTCGTTGGTCATAGTTAATGTCTACTCGATAGTCATTTTCAAAACGTGTTTGACAACGTGATAATAAAACTTGTCGAAAAGAAATTGTTGTTGTCTGACCATTTTGATTTGGTACTGTGATTTGTTTCTTTTGAAAACTATCACATAATTCAGCATACATCGAACAGTATTTAGGTTCTTCGACAGCTTTCGAGAAGATAATATCGATCATTCCTTCTAATCGTTCGTGACGATCAAGTTCAAGTTTTTCCAATTGTTCGACTAGTATTGTTCGGTTTTGTGGTGTTAGTTTGTTTAAGATTAATCGAACATCCCGAATGAATTGAGCGGTAGCATCGACTGTCTTTTGTTTTCCAGTCTCGATCTCACGGACAAATTTCAAATTTGTTGGTCGTTTCTGTGCAAGGGGAGCAGAACGTTTACTAAGAAGTTCTTGAATACTGTATTGGAGACGTTTTGATTGTGGCGAATCGGTTACGGTAGATGTCGGTAGAATATCTTCAGATGCCTCGCTTGATGACGTTTGTTGAGGTGGTTCTACATGGCTGGAAGATAATAATCTTTCGTCTGTTAATTGATTGTCTGCATCAGACTACAACGAGACAAAGGATCGTAGACGTTATAATTTTCACTATTCAACTATACTCTTGCACTTCGGGAATAAAAGATTCTCGTTCGTAGGTGTTTAGTTTGTGATACCATAATTTTACTCGAATGGGTATTCTTTTACGAAAGTTTAAGATTTTAAAATGCTTCATTGTTGTTTACAAGGAAGCAGCTATCGTTTCTTTTTCTCGACTATTGCACAATATCAGCTTTTTTATGCATGACCATGTTGATAAGACATTCTTGCAACGTCGAATGAAAAGGAAATTTCAGTGATTCATTGCAACAAGATGGCGTCGCATGAGTCAGACTGGGAAAAAACTCAATAAGATTATGACACGCTCATTGCTCGTGGAAAAAAAGTCGTTCAATTTAGTTTCAATACTCGAAAAGAAGTTCAAAGGGCTTGCGAGAGATTTGATTAAATACAACGCTTACCACAATATCCGAATGTGAAGATTCGATTTCGTATTGTTCTGATAATTCCGAACAATCTTGTTCATTATCATCATCAACACCATTTTGATTGGTTCCACTACTCGATTTATCATCGACATCATTTTGAATATGATCATCAACTTGACTAGTTTTTGTAACTGAACCACCATTGACTGAAACGCATGCTTTCTAAATAATATAATCATACGCGATTCAACTATGTGAACCAAGCGACTTTTTTTGACTTTATACCTTATCGGAAAAGGGTTTTTTAACTTCATTCGATGCTACTGACGACGACACGCTTATCGATGGACTACTTGTGTCCACACGTTGATTAGATGATGGATCAACAATTGCTAACGGAGTTCTTTTACGTTTTTCTAAAATAAAATTCATAGGATTAAATGTGTCCAATGCGTGCTATATCAATGATACTCTACCTGGGACTTGCGAAGACTGAGATGAATACACATATGGTTGACTGATCTAGAAAAAGTAATGAGCGTTTATCAAAATATATAAACTATTCGCTGATCACATCAGTGAACGTGAGAAACTAACCGGCGATAGTATTTGTCCGCTATTAGACACAAAATAAGGTGTGGTAGGTATTGGAGTAGTTGTTTGGTATGGCGGTATGGATGTTTGGTTAGGGGCAGCTACAGAAAATAAAGCAAGTATTGATTACAAAGGTTTTTTTTATTCTGACAAATATTACGTTGATATACTTGAGACGGTACAGTTTGTTGTGACGGTACAAATAGTGGCATTCTATAATTCGGTGGTACACTCGGTGCTGCACTCGGCGTTGCACTGGGTGCAGTATTTTGCGATTCATTCGGTGGTCGGATAAGAGGAACTTGTGCATTCTAGCAAAGCAAACAAACTTAATCCTTTTAAATATCATATAGAAAACGAAGATCATACTGAGAGATTATTTGGATAGAGAAATGCGCCATGTGGTCCATAAGATTGATTCATATACATTGGTCGTGGTTGAAACACGGTGGGCATTTGAGGGTAATACTAGATATGAAATACATGTAGATGGGACAGACATATCGATCGAAATCTTACTCCAGGTTGGTTGTATAAGTTAGGTATTTGTGAATCGTAATCTGTAAGAATTCAATACAGAATATTTACTATAGAGAAGAATTCAATGAATTTTGTCCTACCTTGTCCATTCACGGTGAAACGACCGTTTGGATGTTGAGGATAGTCATTCAAGTTTTGAAAATACATTGCTTGCTCAGGATTCATAGTTTGCATGAAATATGACAAAGAAAAATGAAAAGATTTCTGTTAAATATCTGCTCCGTTCTATTAATTTGATGCACGTATCGAATACCGATTAGTCATAGGAGGTAAACACCACTTAGTGGTCGAAAGTTTGATTGTTCAGAAGAAGAAATGAATCAATAAATTATTATCTAATCCAAGACAATAGGTTGAAAGAATGTTAATTAAAATAAAGTATTAAATGTTGTTTTCGTCGATAACTGGACGATAAAAACTGATTGCTGTATAAATAAATACTAGAAAAGAAACAATCGATGAGAGACGATTTTGACGAATAACGTCACTGAATAACAGCTATGTATTTGAATGTGTACTCAACGCCTGCGCTTCTCAAGTGAAAAGAAATAAACGAGAAAAGACATTCGATGATGCATGTTGCTCTTTTTTTTTCTACGAGAGAAAAGAAAAATCCAACGTTAGAATAGGAAAAAATTTCGAAATTTTTTTCACATGAGGAGGGGATGTCAAATCATTTTCAATTGGTTTATATCAATGAATCATTAGATTAGAAATCTTATTTGAAATTATAGCCTCCTAATTAGTTTCTTCTTATTATTAAATCAGTAAAATAACAAAGAAAATTAAATCAACTATAAAACTTCGTGTTCTTTGCTCGTTTAATTAGCTTCCATAGAATTCTTATAGATTTTTATAGTCAGATGTCACTAGTTTGTAGTTGTGCGTCGTTGATCAATAGACGAATCTACTAAACATGATTAACATGATCAATACAATGAGAATAGTAAGAAGGGTTAACGCGATCTTAATCTTTTGAAGATTATTTTTGCACCACATTCGCCATTTCGTTTTGTTGGTAACACGTGCAAAGCGATCCGTTTCATCGTGCAAATGCGTAGCTGCTGAGCTCAATTTTTCCAAGTTAATATGCTGTTGTTCTAATAGATGTATATTTTCTCTTGTAAGATTCGTTACACCAGTGATTTCATTCTGAAGTTGCTCTAAAGACATGATCTATGTCGACACAAAGTATCTGCTAAATTCTTTCACGATATAAGAATAATTTATAGGTTTGGTTATACACGGAGACACATGTCCATAAGTACTAGGCACATATGAAATGATAAGAGAATTTGTATTTATTTTTGGTAAATATTGTGATTTCAATGCATCACAAGAATAAAATCAACAATTGTTATTCTTCTGTTAACTTTGTGAACAATGTGCTTTGGAGATGACTTAGATTTGCGTAATGTTAGACGTCATCGATGCCCTGAGAGAATTCGGATATGAAAAATATTATGTTCCAGACGGAAGGAAACTTATTTACGAAAAAAGTTTTCTTATTTTTATTAAAACGAGAATAACAACATGAACGAAGAGAAACAACTAACACAAAACTCAGAAACTACTACATGGGTCGATACCAAAATGGCGGATGTGACATAGGAGGTCCATTCATGAAATTCGTCTGAGAATACAACGGCGTTGCATTAAATGGTTGTTGAGGATAGAAATGTGTTGCACGCGGAAGAAAGGGTGTTCCGAACGGTCTCATCATTGGTTGAGCTGTCGGTCGGGGATACGTTGGCATAGGATATTGTTGCTTTTCTCGCATTGCTGGCTGTTGCACTATGGATGTAGCCAGATAACTATGACGACGATCGGTTTGTGGAGCAGATGAATTAACAGCATCGTTGTATGCATGTCGGTAATCTTTTACAGTGGTGACACGTGTACGATCAAGTTTAACCGGACGTTTTCTTCCTTGACGATCTTCAAAGAAACCATTGACTATTTCGTAGTTGGCTTTCTCATCGTCGAAACTACGATGATGGTCACGTTTTTTGTATTTTTTCTGCTTGAAATTCGATGCTATCGATGGTGGTCGATCGTCAAATATAAGCGATTTCCGTAGATGTTCATCTTCCATCGTTAAACGTTCAACTTCACTAGGTAGCTCTTGATTCATTTGATATTGATAGTTGACTCCTGAGCTCGTTGGTGGTTGAGTCGAGTAACTTTGTTGGGGCGCAGATGTTTGTTGTTCATCATAGACTGTCGACGAAGGATTTGCTTCGCTCACCCATCGAATAAAAACATCTTGGCCTGAATTGACATCTTTGATTCGTTCGACACGTATTAGATTGGGTGCTGGTGCATATGGATCCATGGTTGTCTGTCCTGATTGAGGAACAGGTGTTGTTGCAGTTGTTACCGTGTTTGTTATTAGCGACTGGCAATCCGATAGTGGAAAGGATGGAGCTGGTTGGGTAGTTGGCTGCTGCTGCTGCTGTATTGGACGTTGACTTGCAGAGATAGATGCTATCGATGTCAATCGTCGCCTACGCCGCCGTCGACTACGTCGACTATGATGACAAGATGAACACGAAGATGAGACTGTCGATGATGATGATGATGAAGAACTTGTTCGATTTGAACTACACGATTGCGCTGAATAAGGAAAAGAAATTGTAAATGTGCTTTCAGGAAAAAACCTCTACTTTGTTTTTCTACTTACATCTCGATGACACTGAACGATTTTTACTTGTCGATCGATCATTGTCATATTTATGATGTTCCCACAGTTGCCAAATATCAATAGGCACTCGATCTGTTTTATAATAGAATCCACCGCCTTCCGTATTTGTTTGATAATCTAGTGTACGCTCGCGGTCGGGTGCCGGTACGATACGTATTTCGTTATCAATTTCTTTATTCTTCGATCCGTAATCATCAACCTATGCAATCATATCGTTCAATATTCCAAATTACAATCGTTTGCATTCTCATACTTTGAAATAGAGTGGCACTTTGGAACAATCCTGATGGGGCACAGTTGCTTGATAGGCGCTAAAACATGCTTGAACAAGCGCTAGAGCAGCCTGTCTTGTCTTCGTAACAAATGAATGACATTCATCAACAGGTAAATGGCGAGTACGTCGAAAAGTGACGGCGAATAAGGGTGGGTTACGTGTGTTTTCCATTCGAGCAGCTGCTGGCGAATCCAAAGGTACGAAACGCCATCCATTCGGAAATTCGGCACCTGTTTGAGTTCGTGTGGCGAAACGAATACTAGCACAGTAGATGAGTGAACGTATCGGATAGAATAAAACAACAGATGGATCACGAGCAAATTGTAATTGTAACCCATTGTCATAGACGGACAACCATGCTTCAATACCTAAGAAATTTCAAACGATATTTTCGATTGTTAAAAGAAAACAGATATGGGCATACCTCGAACAACTTCTTTTCCATCTACGGGATATCGTCGGGATAAAGGTTCTTGTATAGCATCTATACCACGTTGACCAGGCGAAGAAATCGCTGTGCCCAAGTATAGTACACTACATTTCGCTCTAAAGAAATCGAAATCTAATTTATATTTGCTAATAATCGAGTTTTATTATTGGCAGGCATGACGAATCAAATAGGAAAGAATAAAAAATATAAAAATAAATCCAAAACATATGATTATCTGTATTGGACAACAATTTAATTATTCATTCGGTTTTTAAAAGAAGAACTAACATACGAAATTATCGATTTATTGATGTCTAGTTACGCTTCATAGATAAGATAAAAAATATGCGTAAATGAAAACAAATAATTCTTTTGTTCGAAAACTTTCTCAAGATTTACACATGCAACTTACAGTGGCTGAGAACCATCAATAACAATCGGTCGGTATTGTATTTGTTGTTGCTGTTGTTGTTGACTACAATCATAATTATTCTCATCTACGACCACATGAGAAGCAGCTTGATCATTATTATCAGTATAAAAGTGTTGTACATATCTTGATGGTTCTATATTTTGCCCGTTTTCATCTACATAAGTATATTCCGCTGTTGGATAATGCATAACGATCTGTATTGAAATATTCTAGTGATATGAAGAGACTGTCATTGACACAAACACCAGGTATTACTTTTTCTGTTGTTCAAAAATGAAGCCGTGATGTTAAGAGTAAAAACAAAGCACGCTTCTTATCATTAATACTTACTAGACACAATAGATGATACACGACATTTGCTGTTCAGCGGACCGTATCAATCGAAAAGATGTCGATATAGAAAATGAATGAAAATAGTAGATGTGTGATCGTAAGGCGGTAGTGACGATAGCTATCGATTTTTTCTTTTTCGTTTTTTCTTTCTTTCTCACGGTGACCTATTGCCAGATTGTCCATTGACCTTTCATGTACCTCTGTCACCCAACACAAATAACTATACTCACCACGATAATAAAACTCTCTTATGTCTATTACCATAGATAAGAGAGAAATGTTTTTCTCTATATTCGTTTTCGAACAGCGATCTACCGGACATCTCTATGTTTCTGCAAATAGATTGTGAGACAAATACGTGGTGAATTCGCGAGAAAACGATGCTATCATGAATGATCTCTAATGAAGAATAGCATTTTTTTTATACAAAACTCATTTGTCATTAGTTAGACAGAAGATTTTATCTATATGTATGCGAATAATTTTTTTATAAATATTAGTTCAACATATCATCTTTGATTACATCAATTTGATTGATGATTTGATATCACAAATAGTTCAATTTAAACATTATTCCTAAAGAATCAAACGAATAGCCCTACAAATGGTTTTTATATGCTGATCTAATGTTGTAAGTTACACTCAACAACAAATAAAAGAAAAGTGTACGATGTTTGTATTGGTGGACACAGACATTCGTTCAAAGAAAAACAACATTCTGTTCTTGCGAGGTGTATAGCATATGCCACTTGTTTATTCCAAAAGAAGAACAAGTATGAATATCAGATGATCTATCTATTCGAGTTAACGTTCAACGTGACACGAGCGCATATGTCAGGATGCGTCTAATCTTAATTTGAATTAACAATATCGTACTTTCGTCTTCATTCTCACATCAACATATATTAATCAATAGTAATAAAAAGAATATCCATCACTATGTTTCGATTAGACACATTCAATATCAATGTTCGTTTTTGTATATTTATATTCGAATAAT